ATTCAACTGTCGATCTGTCCTAAGTTATTTGCTTTGCTCGGATAAATAAATGCACTTTCTTGGAATTTATTCATGTGGGAATAGTGAGCTCTAAGTTGCAGCAAATTAGTACCCCAATGTAACTGATATAAAAGTAATAACATGTAATAGACGTTTTCTACTGGAACTATAAGAATGATCTTGACAAAAATGTTTAATTTAACACATTGTTAGATTAATACTTAAAATTTGAAGAAAAGCCATTCCGGAGGCCATGATATTTAATTAGCTGTTAGGTATACAGGGTGTTTTTGAATGGAGTAGCATAAATGATACCAGTGAAACTACATTTCAAAAGAACACGATCTGCAAAAAATCGCCTTAGTAAAATGTTCACCCCTGAAGAGATATGGGCCATCAAAGTTTCCAAAAAAATTATGAAAATTGGCTGTAATTTGAAAACCGAACGAGGTACAAATAACAAATTTTTTACAGGTTGTTTACTAATACAGATGCGAGTTTTCAACTATTTTTCGAAAATTTTAACCCCTCGAAAGGGGTTGAAATAACCACCCCTCAAGCCATTTTTTGCCATAACTTTTATATTTCGTAAAAACTCGATATCCAAAAATACGCATTAGATAAACTGGTTCTTTTAGAAACTTTTACCTCTCTAGCAATTTTCCTTTAAAACTTTTCGTTTATTAATAAAAAAATAAAATGTATTACCATTCACCTCACACCGTATATGATTGCAATCAATCAAAGAAAAACTAAGTGTGCTGCTGTCATGCCAGTTGTCACAATTAACTCTTCTGTAAGTTGTCACTGTTATCAGCTAAATACTTTTTGGGTGTAAATTAACAAGAATTATGCCAAATTTTACTAATGATGAATATGTGGACATGCTACAAGTGTTTTTTTCTACGATCGTGCAAAATTTACTACTTATTGCACTACCTACTGTGCCAAAAGTTTAACTTTTTTTACAGTAGTACAAAAAAAATATTGATTACAAGTTTAATCTAAGCATATCCATAAGTACCTAACGTCTGACATTGACAATTTGCGCAATTAATTTCCAGTTGTCAGTTAAAATTTTAATATTATGTAAAATACTGTTAAATAAAATTTGAAATAAAAACAATCGTAGAAAAAATGTTGCGTGCAACATGTGCAAAAAGCATATTTGTTGCACTTAACATGATTGCAGCTCTCAACTTCGTCTCGAGCTGCAAACTTCATGCATCGTACAACAAATACACACTCTTTACAGTAGTTGCACAAATAACTGTTTGAATGTCGCAGAAACTTTTATTAAATAGAAGTACAATGAAAACGAAACTAAGAAATAATTTATTATCAAAAAGAGAAAAAACAAAAAACTTAGTTAAAGGACATTTTCAAAATAATTGCCATTTCTTTCTAAACACAACCTAACACGTTTATCAAAGTTGTTACGGACTCGAGCAAAAATTATGGGATTGTTGCGAATCTCATCAGCCGCCGCGAATATTCTTTCCTGTAGCTCTTCAACACTGTCAACTGGGGTCGCATAAACAATACTTTTTATATGTCCCCAAAAGAAAAAATCCATGGGCGTTAGATCGGGAGAACGTGCAGGCCAAGAGATAGGTGCCTCATTGCCGCGACCTATCCAACGATTCGGGTAATTTAAATTAAGCCACCGCCTAACTACTACAGTGCTGTGAGCAGGAGCCCCGTCATGCATGTACCACATGGCCTGACGTACATTTAATGGTACTTCCTCCAGAAGTGGTGGTAGATGCTCATTTAAGAACTGCAAATATTCAACAGCACCAAGTCGATGAGGTAAAACAAAAGGGCCGACAAGCACATTTTCTACAATTCCTGCCCAAATGTTTAAACTAAAATTATGTTGAAATGTTGTCATAGATACTTCGTGAGGATTTTCATGAGCCCAGGAATGAAGATTGTGCATATTGGTTAAACCATGTCTTTGAAAAGTTGCTTCATCTGTGAAAAGTATCTTTGAGGCAAAATTCAAATTATTTCTTAGAATATTAAGATACGATTCGCAAAAAACAACTCGCTTATGCATGTCTGGTTCAAGTAGAGCTTGAACTGGCCGGTGGTGAAAAGGATATAATAAATTATCATGGACAATATTCCAAACAACACTATGGGACACATTTAAGTGCATTGCTGTTTTTCTCGTACTAGTCTGACGATTTTCGTCAAACTCTTCAAGTACTGCATCCTCAAGATAAATAGTACGAACAGTAGGTCTTCGGCCGGTACCCTCAATATGCGGCTGTATTTTTCCAGTTTCCCGAAGTCTTCGTTCTACCGCCGAAAAAGTTTGTCTGTGGGGAACTTGACGATTTGGATATCTCTCATTATACGCTCTTGTTGCCGCAGCACAGTTTTTGCGACATTCAAAATACACTTGTAGCATGTCCACATATTCATCATTAGTAAAATTTGGCATAATTCTTGTTAATTTACACCCAAAAAGTATTTAGCTGATAACAGTGACAACTTACAGAAGAGTTAATTGTGACAACTGGCATGACAGCAGCACACTTAGTTTTTCTTTGATTGATTGCAATCATATACGGTGTGAGGTGAATGGTAATACATTTTATTTTTTTATTAATAAACGAAAAGTTTTAAAGGAAAATTGCTAGAGAGGTAAAAGTTTCTAAAAGAACCAGTTTATCTAATGCGTATTTTTGGATATCGAGTTTTTACGAAATATAAAAGTTATGGCAAAAAATGGCTTGAGGGGTGGTTATTTCAACCCCTTTCGAGGGGTTAAAATTTTCGAAAAATAGTTGAAAACTCGCATCTGTATTAGTAAACAACCTGTAAAAAATTTGTTATTTGTACCTCGTTCGGTTTTCAAATTACAGCCAATTTTCATAATTTTTTTGGAAACTGATGGCTCATATCTCTTCACTGGTGAACATTTTACTAAGGCGGTTTTCTGCAGATCGTGTTCTTTTGAAATGTAGATTCACTGGTATCATTGATGCTATTTCATTCAAAAACACCCTGTATAATATAAAAGTTGAATCAAATTTCTATACCAAGACCAATATTCTATACTACTAGCATTCAACAAGAAAAGAGATAAGGCTTTTTTGCTTCTGAGCCATTAAATAAACAGTAAACTGTAAGGTACATTAGTCCAGTCAAATCTTTCAAAATTAAGTCTGAATCGGAACAATTATCAAATAATGAATTATTAAATACCTTTACACGCAAAAAATTTCTTGCTTCAAGAGTACAACATTTGATTTAAAGGTATTGCTCATTTATACAGGGTGATTCACAACTTATCCAAAAAAATTTGGGAATAGATGCGGCATGAGAAATGGAGTAGAAAAAATTTTGTAAAATCCTTATAGTTTCTGAGAAAAAAAAATTATTGAAGTTATAGCACATTAAACCACTACATAGCTGGACAACTGTAGTCTCTAGCGTCATTCGCAATACGCGTGGAGAGCCATGTGACTCCTAATACTGAAATCCGTCGTTGCGGTAGTTTTTACCTGTTATCTGTGTTATTTACATCAGTTTTTTAGTAGTTAGTGTCAAAAATGGCTTGCGTGTATAGCAACTCAGAGTTGATGGATATCGTTTTAATTTATGGTGAAGCAAGACAACATTTGTATTATGGTGAAGTATTTGTGTTATGGTGAAGCAAGACATCATTTGTGTTAGTTCGTAGAAAGTGAGTAAGACGGACCCAAATGTGTTTACACGTGAGTGGATAAAATTTTGAACAATTGCTGTTGCAGCATCGGGTATGTCAAATGATTTTATTATTTAAAAACACAAATTAATTTTATTAATAATTAATAAAGGCAAAAGCATTTGAATTTGCCGATATAAAATAGGTGCGATAAAATTCTATTTACATATTTCTTTCCTTGCGAAAGTTTTTGTCCGTTTTTATCACGCCGCCATACCGGTCGCATTGTGCGAGGTCAGGTTTTACAGTGGACCAGTTTCCAGTGCCGTGCAGAAGTGTATTTTTAAATCAATTTCGAACTGACCTTTTTGATTTTTTCTTTACAAAATTGTATTTGTAAGGGTCCCCTGTACATCCAGAATTTTTTTTTGGATAAGTTCTGAATCACCCTCTATATACGCAAGAAAATATTTTCTTCTTTCAAGAAAATTATTTGTTTATTTAAATAGGTACTCTAAATTTCTATTCAGAAATATAATTCCTTACTTTAAAAATAGGCAGCAATTAAAATAAATATTTGATACTTACGGTTAAACGGATTCTAGTCTCTATTTTTTGATCTACATAGATTTAGAGAAACGTGTTTTGTATTGTATATTAATGTATCGTTTATTTAATACAAAATTGAATAGTTTTGGTCAAATTATTGATTGTATACAGGGTGTCCGCAAAATTCACCGACAACGTTTGACTGCATATTCACAACGATAAATAAATACGATCTACGAAAAAAAGTGAAATAAAATCCTTTTAGTTTTTGAGTTACAGACTTTCAAAGTTGTCAAAAAAACTAATTTAATTAATAACTTCATAACTCTTTTTCGCGTTAAAATTTGGTACATTTATTTCGACTATTATTGCGTATTATTTCTTAAAATTTTAGTTTTCTCCGGTTACCTCTCCCTCTTAACGGTCAAAACTTTTACAGTGGTCGTATTTTTTTAAAACGGGCAGCAACATTGAAGTGGTCGTTTTATTTAAAACAAATAATGTCCCTTGAGAAAATCGCCTACAGAAAGCCATTCTTGAGAAAAATGGCATTATTTGAAGATCTCACTTCCACCCTGTATAAATAGTAGTAATAATAGTTTTTTACGTTATTCTACCCGCCATCTCGAAAATTTACGGTGGGTTCGGTTCCAAATGAGCATCCGGTATAAATAGGAAACATATGTGCGACTGTTACATAATACCAACGCGAAGCTCCACACAACGTAAATACAAACACGCTATTTTTTGAGACAAATGCGTTATATTTAGAAGCACCCTAGGAAGTTGGCACTAATTACAAACGGTCCGAAAATCGGTATAGTTAGGTTACAAAGATCGTAAAGTTCACAACCTTTCCTATCACAGTTATTTTTGATTTGCACACAATGAGTGTTTGACTTAATATCGAAACAATAGTTTGTTGTTGGTGCGAGTTTATTTAAATTATGGCTAAAGCTAAAGGCACATTTTCCAGGAAAGCGTTCAGGCTGCTGAAAAGGTTAGGAATTCTTGGATACAGGTAAGCCTACTAGTATATTTAATACAATAAAATTTGCTGTTAATGTTACTATCGTTTTTAATTGTCAGTAGTCATTGAAATTTACCTCATTATCTCACATTACTTTTTAAAACCATTATTAATCTATAGTTATTTTCATTTGAATCAGTTTAATCTAGCAGTTGCTTGTAATATTAAACTTTCACATATTTTTCAAAATCTCATTAGCGCCAATGAGAGACTGAAAAATGTGTCATATAATATAGAAACTAGCTTATAACTTATTTTCGTAGTTATATTTTTAGTGATTTATTGTTTTGTAAATATCAAGGTGACTATAGTTAAAAATAAAAGAACAACTAAGATCTAAAATTAATTTAAAAAAATTGTGTTACATTAATTTGGTAAAGGTTCAGTTTTAAAATAGCAAAGGTCTAATTGTGAACAGAATTTCTTGAATCTTATAATACAAATAAATAATGCTTTTCAACGGCAAAGGACTATTTTCTTTGATCAGATCTACGATATCTCATAGTTACAGGGTGTCCCACTAAGGTACGATATTAGAGAAAGTATAGGCCCTAAAGCGACGGAAAAAAATTTTGAAAAATCGACCAAGAGAAATTGCTGGAAACAGTTTTCAAGTTTGTAGCTCGACCGATAGGGGAGTTGAATTTTTCTCAGAAATGTTTCCTATTCAGGTATATTAAATAGTAAAAATATATGGATAGCCGGATTTTGTTCTATCTCTCGACAGAAAGGGTGGGGGAAGCCCCTAATGTCTGATCAGAAAAATGCATTTTTTAAGGATTGGGTCTTCAAAAGCCCATAGTGTTACACCTCGTTGAAAAGGTCTTTTCATGCTTTATCTCGTGGAGAATGCGTAATATCATTTACCTAAATATGGAAACCCATAGATGGCATTATTTCAAAAGAGTGCCGTTTTATGGATTTTTCTCAAAAATTTTAAATGCAATGCTATAGTTTTCTTTACATAAATGAATTCAACACAAAAAATTGATGAATATAGTATAAGTTTGAAATTTCTAACGAAAGTGTTGTTTATTTATTGGCGCCATTTATCCATGTTTAGGTTGTTACACGTTTTCTTAAAAAAGTGAAATAGCAGGATAAAATTTTTTATAAAAGAGTTCGATATCTTTTTTTGTTATCAAGTTATTCGCAAATTAGTGAGCAAAAAATAAATAATGATAATGAATTGAGGAGCACGACGCTAACGAAAAAGATATTTAATTACCGAAACAAAATGCGTTTATAAATGAACCTACCAAAGCACGCAGGGAAGGTTAAATTCCTGTATTAAATATAATGGTATCCATTTCGAGCATTTATAAACAACTTTACTTTTGTTCTTTCTTTACATAATATCAATATGTTTTTGTTATTATTTTAAAGATTGTTATTGACACACTCATTTGCGTGGGTTATTGTCATATCCAAACCAAAATTTAAAAAGTCGTATGTCGTCGTGAAGAGAATTGAAAAAGAAATGAGGTGTCACTCAACAAAGGGTGCCATTTGAAGTTTAAGAATATTTTGCCCGGTTGAATAAGAAGTACCTTCCAAGACACCAAAACTTACGCCATCATGTGTCCCCCCTGAAAATCAAATCGACGTGTCAGGTTCTTTTTTATTTTTTTTTTAATTCCGGTATTTTCCAGATGCGAAATTTTAATTGGAACACGCTGTATACGATAATAATAAAAGAACATAATTTTTGTAAATGAAACATAGACTTGAAACAAAAATAATTGATTCCTCTGGATCTTAGATTTTTGTTTTAAAAATATATTTTTATTGCAACAGATGTAGCATACAATTGATCTCTCTCATGTTATTAGAAATTTAAAATAAAATTGATAAAAAAAATATCGGAAAAATTAAAAATCCTTTTTTTATTCATTAATTTAATCGCTTTGCTATTGTACTGTCAATTATTGCAAGGTGATTTATTGCCCACAACAAATTTAATACATCGATCCCCATCTGCTATAAAATCAAACCAAATAGTAGTCTTTTGGCTGTTAGCACTACATATAAGCAAGACTTATTTAAAGACTTAAACTTAAATAATAAAACGATAAACTGAAGCTGAAAATAATCTAACAAAAGTATTGTAGTGCATTGTGAACTAATCTTACAGAACAATTTGTTGGTGGTTGTAAGATTTCTGAACGAAGTACATTTTCAATCATCCTGCAATCAATAAAGTCCAGAAACCTGTCAGAAAGGAAACAGAGACTCATTTAAGCCTATATTATTTCCTGATTGCAGTCCCATTAAGCGCGTTAGAAGATACTGTAGCAGTATCTTCCAAGGGTCAAATATAAAAGAAGATTCTAGATTCTGTTTTATCAATATCGAGGTCGATATGGAAAAGACACATGATTGTCTGGTCAGTGAAAGGTGACACAATCATCTATTAATTTAATACAAGTTGCAGTAAGGACTTTAATTCCTGTTACACAAAAGGGTTTCGAAAATGGCTTAACAAACCAATTTATCGGAATTGGGTCTAGTAAATTTAATGATGGGGATTTAAATATGTAGGCATATGAGAAAATTACCTGTGCCTTTCTGAATCTCGCGGACAAAATATGTAAATATAGTCATAAATAGACGTTTTAGCAAAAGAATATGGTTCATATATTGGATTTTTCGGTAAGAATTACTATTTCCTGTTGAAATAAAATTAATAAAATTTTGCAATTAAGAACATGAAATAGTACAGCAAGTTAAATAAAATCTAAACTATTTTCATTCGAACAAATCCATGAATTTCTAAGACAAAAAAAATACTTTTCATAAAAAGTAAAATAAAACTATTTTCCAAATGCATGGTACTGAAATCAGTAATGAGGAGTATACAAGCTGCCAACAGTGTGGAGTAAATTAGATACTTGGTCTAACCAAAAGTGTATGAAATAAATAACATTAATAAAATATTATGCCTGTCACTTGATTTGGAAAAATTCCAACTCATGTCCTAATGATTTTGAAATTCTACATTGCTTATTATTTTTTAGATAATTTTTCAAAAATTAGTTGTCTGATTCATTTCCTTTCCAGATACCTACGTTATGCAATAAAAACTGTTTCCTGAGTTACCCCTTCAAGGGGCTGTAACTCCCTTAGGGGCCGCCAGTGACAAAAACTCTAGTAAAGTTTTCATCATATTTCGACATGTTTTACATACTCTCCAATTTTGAGTACTTATTTCGTTAACACCTTGTATAGCAGCTTGGAGATGTTGAAGATGACTTGTTCACAATATCTTTTCTTAATTCTTACGAGAAGTATTAGTTCCAAATTTGACACATAAATTTGATTAGCGATGAACCATATTTATAACGACTATATCTTTATGGCCACCCTTAAAAGAATTGTCTCTTGGAATATATGTTTGACCTGGGGGCATGAAATAATGACAGCAATAGGAAATAAATTACTAAAAACATATTAAAGAAGAACTATTCATCTTCAAATGTAGATAAATGTTTCAGAAACATTGGAAATGGCCTCTAACTATAATTATTTTCAGTTCAGTTTTTAGAAGAGGCAATACTACGTCCTCCATCAGATTTCTTACAATATATTACATAATTTGGTTGAATTATTTCTCAACTTAATTGTTTGTCTAGCAGATTAGCAATATTTTAAAACTCTGTATATGTATAATATGATAACCAAAATCAAGTTATTGTCTGATGTGTGTGATATTATGTGATATGCATATGCAAAACTACGTTTTTAAATTGTTTTAACTATTTAACAATATTTCTTATTGTTTATTTAATTTCTTACAAGCAAATTTTATTTTTAACAATATTTTTTCTTATGTCTATGTATTTTTATTTACTTAATGCATATTTATGTAACAACTTTATTTTAGATCTTGTGTATAATCTGTTACATTCCGACTCATATCAATTATTTCCGATGTTATTTCTTAATAAAGTAATTAGCTTTGTTCCTATTGAACTAATAAATATTTTTATTATTACTATTCTACTAAGTTAATAGCATAAATGCTTTAGCAACATACTTTTGATTTTTTTATTAATAATTTATAATATTTATAATTAGTTAATTCAATTCAAGTATGAAAGTTTTCAGTATACCTAGAAGTTAGTGTCAAAGAGAACATTTAGGCAATAGGGGCCAAATATTGGCGTAATATCAGTAACATGTAAATCTATGCCCAATATTTGGAAGATTTAACCAATGTTGATAAAAGGCAGGTGTGCAATGTATAAAGTGAATATAATTCCTAATGAAGGTCCAATATACAACTAGTAGAGTAATGTCGGATCCATATTGTCAACCAGCATTAAAAAAAATCAAAATCTGTCGTGTACAATATTTGGCCAATATGTGGAAAAAATATGTTTTCAATATCTTTGTGCTGCTGGGGGTTTACACATTTTTTGAGCAAATTTCGATATGGTAGGCACCTAGTCGGAAATGAAGGTCATATAAAAATTGTATTTAATAGTTATTTATAATAATCACATTTAACTTAATAAAAAAATATTCGCACGATTTGATATTATTTCAATATTATTTCTTACTAGTACTCAATGAAACGTGGTAGGTTTGTTATACCTACTGGTTGCTATGGTACGTTGTTTATTATGAATTATTTAATAAACAGTTATATCTGAATTTGGTAAAAATGCAAGGAAATAATTGTGTTCCTATGGCTTTTCTTGAAGAAGCTCAAGAAGCAATATTCCAATTATTGCCAGCGAAATCCAGGGAACATTACTGAAAGTGTTCGCCGAATTTAACGAATGGAGGAAAAACGGAGAGTAATGATAACAAATCATGCCATCGTATTTTTTAAATTTGAAGAAAAAATATGCAATTTCATCTATGTGGTCGAAGTATTCGATGTTGAATGAAGGCTACTATAAAAGTCTAAAAATATATAAATATTGGAAAATATAACAAGCTTACTGCTTATTTGAAGAGTGAATCGAGAGGATACAAAGTAAAAAAAGCTGCAGTATTGGAAAGAGCACATATTGCAGAATTTTTGACGATAAAGAATATTTAATGATTAAAGTACCTTTTACATGTTGTTAGGTATATAGTGAACTTTGAATTATTATTTTATGTTACACTAATAATTGAGGTTTCTGGTGCCTGTCGATGCTGCGAATTGACAAAATTGAAAATTAGTGACGTACAGGACGTTGGCAGTTACCTACTTGTTTCAATACCCGACACCAAGACGGGCATTTCAAGAAAATTATAGAAGAAAGGTTTTGCGAAAATGCTGTAGAAATATGCAGAAAATATATTTCTCTGCAACCAATTCACCTAACATAAGACGGATTCTTATACATTATACATCAATCAAAAATGTACTTCTCACTCTGTTGGAGTCAACACATTGGCGAAGGTACCCTTAATAGTTACTTCATTCCTGAATATCGCAAATCCAGAAGCATATACTGGCCATTGTATGAGGCGCACTTCAACAACTTTATTGGCCAATAAAGGTGCTGATCTTACAACCATCAAACGGCATGGTGGAAGGAAGAGCTCCTCTGTAGCAGAAAGTAATGTTGAGGAGTCTATATCTAACAAACTTGATATTGCAAGGAAAATCCAAGGAAAATATAGCTGTTCCTTACAAGAAGAGACTTGCGTAACTTATGCAAATTCTTCACAGACTTATTGGGTAGATGTTATGCGTTTCGAACATGATAGCAAAAATGCTACAAGGGTTATCAACGGAAAGGAAGTTAAATGTGATAAAACAAAAAAAACGAAATGTCTATTACTACAAATGTAAATGTTAATGTTAATAAGTAAATAAATTAAATCTGATTTATTAAAGGCTTACTATTTTTCCATTATTCCACTAGTATCAATTTAGACGGTTCATATGTGTGGATAAAAGTCCGATTATAAGGTGATTGTAGATAAAATATTTTTGCATGGTCGGTGGCGTTTTTTCATTACATTTTACAACGACCTTCTGTCGCGCTAACTATTAAACAAACAAATCGTTTTCGAATCACGGCATACCACTCGTAACATTATTTGCTTTTAACCGTTGACGCTATTCATTGATAAGAAGTGTTATCACCTCTAACCCAGTATTTCTTGTTCTTTCTAGTAAGAAAAAAAATATATTCGGAGTGCATCCACTAGTGGTATCGACGGCGTATATAGTGCTCACTCTATTGCTAGCAGCGGTGTCGAGAAAATTAGTTAAATCAATTTTTGGTAGCAGCGAAAGCATATTTAAGCAAATATTGTTAGAATTTATTGCGACCCTAGAATTGTGCGCCGCATGTTTTGAATTAATAATAGGTACGTATTCGAATTGGGATAATGTTTTATTGCTTGGATTGCAGTGAGTTTTATTGTCGTGCATTGCATAGCACTGTTCTTACACGTAAAGTATCAGTTATTGGCTGTTCCATAACAACGATTTGTTATTGGAAGTACCGCTTTTGTTTGAACGTTTTCTCGCATATGCAGCGTAGCATAAGTGCTAGGTTCGAAAAAAATGCGTTTGAGTTTTTATATACAGTTAACTTTAATAACCCACCGATGTGTACGGGTGTTTTACCTATTTTTTGTGTTTATTTTTACTAACATAAGAAATGTCCACAGCAGCCTAAAATAAGAAGTCTAGAGAAATAAAAGTTTGAGGAAAATATACCGGATGATTTTTTAACTTGAGACTTTCAAATATCTCGAGAAATAAGCACACTACGAAATCATAATACACACAGAGAGAATATTTCTGCCATATATTAGCGTTAAAATTAGTCTATCTCCCCCCTCCCTGTAGGTGAGACACCTATTGTTTATTGCAAATTCGGATTCAACGGCGAAAAGTACATAGGATTTGTCTAAAATATTTTTTTTATGCAAATCGAGGAAATTCAAATATTTCAATTTCTTCTACGTAACCCTTGCATACGATTTCGGATACGCTTGCAATAAGAAATATAACGTTTTCATTGTAACTAATCAAAATTAGTTTTAAAACAAATTTTATTCCTCAAATTTCAATTACTGAAAAATGACTACTAGGTATTAATAATAATAATAATAAATGGTCTTTATTCATTGTCAGTAAGTATACAATGAAAAGGTGAAGTATCAGCCAAGGCTGCTTTTCAACTTAACCTTAAATTAATTTAAATTTATACAATAATTGTAGCAATAACAAAAATTACATAATAAAAAACACAGAGAAACATTACCTAATAAAGAACAAATCAGAAAATACTAATTATACCTTAATAATACATTAATAATAATAACAAAATGCTAACAATAAATGCTAACAATAAATAAATAAATGAACCCAAGTGAAGTCCGAAACCTGGCAGAATCCGTTTCCTGATAATTACCTATCCGTATGACACAGAAATTCTTTTATTTTCTTTTTAAAATTAAAAATTGAATAGTGTCTAAAATATGGAGGCAAGTTGTTATAAAACTTACTGGATATATATGAGAAACTACGTTTCATAGTGGCAGACGAGTGTTTAGGTATAAGTAATAATAATAGATATTCAGGTGTACGCATGTTTAAAATTTTATGAACGAGGCAAAAACCATGGATAGCACGCAGTTTATCGAGTTTCATCCAATTAACTTCAGCAAATTTATTGCTCACATGATCAAATTTACGCAGTCCTGTAGCAAATCGAAGACATGCGTTTTGTAATAGTTGCAATCTACTGGCATCGCGTTCCAATAGTGCAGGACCATAAACAGTATCGGTATATGACAATTTTGAGAATATGAGTGTCTCACAGAGTTGCAATTTTATTTTAAAATCTAATATATGTGTTTGAGAGTAATGCTCGAGGATATTATAACTTGATTTGGACAAATAATTTACATATTTAGTAAACCTCAAATTAGAATTGATCCATACACCTAAATTTTTCCAGCTATCAACTACAGGCAATGCCTCATCATTCAAGTTGATATTCATTCTATGACGAATGATATCTCTTTTTGCTTTGAACGCAAAAAGTATCATAGCAGATTTATTAGCATTCAATTTTAAATTATGGCCCAGTGATATATTATGTAGTGAATTCAGATCAGAGTTAATCAACTGTCCTGCAGCATTGTATTGATCAAAACTAAACGAGTGGTAAATCTGCGTATCATCAGCATAATGATGTATATTACAGCTATTTATAAATGTATGAAAGTCGGATATATAAATTGAAAACAACAAGAGTCCTAATATGGAGCCTTGAGGTACTCCCAATCTAAGCGGTAATGGGCTAGAAGTCTCATAATTCAGTGAAACGCTATGAAAAAGATTACTTATGTACTTAATTACGTATAAAAGAGACAGCATTTATATTAAATCCAAAGAAACTTAACTTTCTACAGAGTAAGTCGTGCTCCAAAGAATCAAACGCCTTACTATAATCTCATAAGACGAGGCACGTTAATTTCTGAGCATCAGTAGTACGAAATATGTCATCAGTAATATTTAAAAGAGCTGTCGTAGTGCTATGTTGAGCACGATATTATCGTAGCAACCCAGGAACAGGCATTCATTTTGGGATACTTAGCCAATGCGATTTCCTTCGACTACGACTTATCGGAGCAATTTATTCACCAACCAGTTACATTTCTACAGGTAACAATTTCCCAGTTCTTCGAAATTTGCAAAATTAATAAACTTTATTGGCTCTGAATTTCGATTATTTACATAAAATGTGGTATTTTTCATTACAAACACATTGCAGAATTGTATACATAGGTTCCCAGTAGCAGAAATTGAATTTCGTCGATTACAGCACCATCTATCATGAATCGAAAAAAATATTTCATACAAATCCGCAATAAAAATTGGGGGTATTTAAGCTTTCAAAGTTTCTCCTCTCCTTACCTATACGGGGTGGGGCAGAGGGACTAATTTTAGCACTAGTGTATTTCCCCTCTTGGAAAAAACAAATTTTGATTTTAAGCAGTTTTTTCGCAGAGTGCTTATTTCTCGAGATGAGATAAAAAAAAACACCGTTATGGGTACCTTTAAAAAAAATACACACAAGTACACTGAAAAAATTTTAAATTTTCGACAGTTTGCATTCTAAAAATTCCTTTTTATTTTCTTTTTAAAATATACTGAAAAAACAAATATTTCCCAAAGTTGTATGCACCTTTTCTATTTCGGTATGTTGAATGTCTAAGAGAATTTCTACATTACTATTGCTACATTACTGTCAATTTTTTTTAAAACACCTTTTTACAAATTTACTATTTTAATACGTAGGTACTGCACTAAATTATTCACAACCATGCGCAACATTTAACACGTCTCCATATGTGACATAATCAAAGGTATAGTAATATTTCTGTAACAGAGACATAAAAAACACAATTTGGTTTCTCCATTATTTATGAGATTTTGAAAAAATATTATTTGAAAAAAAAACGTACTTATTTTCTTGATTTCTAATCGGGTGGAAAGGAAAATCGTAACTTAGAGAACACCTGATGTTCAATGAACTCATTCGTAATATTTAATTTACCTATAACTTGTCTTTACATTTTCCGTACTTAACCACCTAAATACAAATGATCAAAATAACAGGTCGATAGCTTTAATATTCTAATTAGTAAAATAGTTTTGAAACAGTTCATGCCAAGCTTCTGTGACGTCACACCACTCGACTAGTTCAGTGCGCTATTAGCTATTGTGTCAAGTTATTTATTTGCGACGTAGTTGTGTGAAAAAAAACTAAATAATTAATTCAAGAAACTTTACGTTAAAAGTATCAGCCAAGTGTTATTTTTATTAAACTACCAAATTGCACACTGAAAAAAAAACCCTGTATATATTTGTGCTAAATTATTATTATTATCATCTCGATATTATTAACTTCAGTTGCCATTATTTATTTATTTACTATTTAATTTGAACATATTTTCTGTTAAGGGCATTATAAAAATACACTAAAGAGAGCTTTTACGTTGATGTCCCTGTTTGCGTTTAAATAGATCAGAGCCATCGCCACATCTAAAACAAAGTTCTAAAATTAAAGTATCCATAGTAACGCAAATAGTATCTGTCTGCTGAATGTTCATACATGTTGTACGAGTACCTATATTGTGGCGTATCAGAAAGTAAAGTTAAATTGTTGCTGTGACTATAATGTAAGTAATCTGTTTAAAAATTTTTATGTACTTAGTTCTGTTACAAACAATTATTCGATTTAACACAGTTGACAGTCTTATACGAATATAATTTTGACAAGCGCGATTCTAACATTTAACGTAATTAAAACGAAATATTACCAGTACGTCAAATAAAAATAATTTTACCAATAATTAAGTCAGGAATTAAGTAAGGAAGAAGGAGTAAGGAATTTGCAGAGAAAATTTATTAAGCGCGTTTTATAGGGAGTTTGTCAAATACAATTTAATGTTAACTGCTACAAAATGCATACATTCTGTAGGTACTAAAACAGTTCTTTTATTTAATATACACATATATAAAAGATTGTATATTCAGTCAGTATGAGTCCCAAATTAAATAGACTTATGAGCGTTACTATTTCGGTTGTTTCGGGAGGAAGAAATGTGGTTAATTTAGGAAAGTCTTTTAAGTTAATTTAACAGAATTTAATTGTAATTTCAAATATATTTTAAAACTTATTGTACTATGATTGAAATAAAAAAATAATAATTAGGTATAGGTAAAGAAGGAGAATGTCAAATTCTTAAAAGTTGTTTGTCAGAGCGACAACAGTGTGGAAATTGATGAGATAAGGAGTCGTCTAAGAACTATTACTTCTAGTGTCCCACAGGGCACCGTTCGTAGACTACTTCTGTTTACACTATATAATAGTTTACTTTAATATACTTTTCTGATAATACTGTAGTGTTATACGAAAAATGAAGGCAGAAAATGACTTCAAATTATTGAAAAAGGCTTTCGATCTAATGCCCTCAATTTAAATACTTAAAAAAAAAGTATTGATTAATTACCGTTATCATTGTACAACAACAATCTGAAACAATCAAAAACGAAACATATCAATAACGTTGTCAAAAAAATTAGAGGCACACTTCTTCTATTTAAACAACTAAAAGATTTTCTAGATATAAAACATTTATTAAAAATACTGTATTATTCTTTGATTAATACCAGTTGATATAAGGAATTATAGGATAGAGTGGAGTATATGTCAATTTAAATAATTTAAATGTCATACAACACAAAAATGTATATCAAAAATTACGTATGAGAAGCTATTTACATACACTAATGCTACCTTATTCGGATTAATGTATGTGACACAAACCTCTACTGTCTCAACCTGTTAATTCATTTAAAGAAAATGTTGATACCAAAAGCCTTTAACTGACGATTACTTTACTAGAAGAAAGAGAGGACTGTTGCCAAATCACTGTGTCAAAACTATTGGACAATGCCGTTTCGATTATTTAGCTCCGCAGAATATTTAGGAAAATAATTGAAATTGCATTTAGAACTATAAAAGACATAGGTACAAAATATCGGATTTTTAAGTGGGGGAGAGATATTTTTCATATCCTCATTTCACATACTCGTCAAAGTTACCACAGAACCACCATAGAATTATGGATTCATCATTACCACACTTCTTTCTAAATTGACTTCAGCAATTCCCAATTCAAGATCACGATTCAAGTTTGTGTTTCAGTTAAAATTTTGCAAAACTTCACTATTTTCGGAATCCATGTGTATGAATTTAGGACACCGTATAAGTTTAATTCTTTGGCCTTTTGAGACTGAGTTATGGTCACCATCTGGCTTAATTCAGAGCATATCTTGGCCTAGATGAACTGTTATCCTAGCAGATTTATTCAACATCAACATGTGTTTTATAGATTTGAAGGTTAACAACAATATGACTTTTTATAACTGTCGTACATTGCGAATTTCTCCATGAATTAATTGATGAAATCACTTCACTTATTAATTTATAAAGGCGCTTCATGAAGAATGCACCAAATCTGTTGTCATAAATTTATTTATTCAATTTTTTTTCATGAGGTTTATAAGAGCCAACAAATAAACTTATTTGTTCATATATTTACTTGAGAAAGTTTTTATAGTAATGACAAAATAGGATTATAATTTTTTATATGAAGAAAATGCATTTATTTTTGTTTTTTTTTTTCAGCCTGGCTCGGTGACAAAGATGATAGTACTTATTTTTGTTTCAAAGAAACTCATGAAATTTAGAAAAGTATAACATGAAACCAAACCCTTTATGAATAAATTAATCAATTAATTCATGAAGAACTTCGCTAATTGATTCATGAATAACGAAAGCGAAATGTTTCGCATTTATTCAGATTTACATTTTAAAGTAAAATCTACCTCTCAATCTGACCTTCAAGTTATGTGGTAGAAGGTACGGTATATTAATAGGAATGCCTACTAAAATCAATTACACGGAAGATATATTTTTGCTTATTAATTGATTGATTAACGTCGTTTACAGTTGCAGACAACTGGGGTGTCGCAGCGTACGCGATCTACCTATTCCTGCTGACAATATGGTGGTCGTCACACTGGGAAGATGCCTCGGCCTGCCCGTACAGTCCGATAGAGGATGTCCTAGAAGGGGGCAAGACCTTGAAGACTGTCGTTCTCGTAATTGTAGCTCAAGTGTTTGCCGCCCTTGTAACGTTCAGGTAAGCTGCTATTTTCTTTTGTTTTATTGCCACTCTTTATTAGGAAGTTAAAGGGCCAATTCAACTTGCTCCGGTAACGATTTGGTGTAAATTCTATCGTTTTCACTAATTTGATGGCTAGAAATTACGAAATACCGAAAATCGTTTTCTTAAACATACAGGATGTAAATAAAACGCTTAGGGCTGTAGGTGAGAGACAGATATATCCATCTAACTGGTAAATAAATTTATCAGGCGAAAAAAATAGGGCCAATTTTAATGACTTATTCCGAGTCATATAGATTCGACAAAAAAAAATCGTTTTAAAATGTAGGTTACTTTAAATATCAATACACATGTACACATAATGTTCAGTATAAACAGGGTGTGGCGTGGATAATCCATAAAAATTAAACTATAGTTTCCTGATGATATTTGTAATAGAAAACTCTTATACGAAAACGTTCTATCTTTTTTTTTATTTATTAAAAACTTTGGAAATATTTTTATGCGACCCGAGTTGCAACCTTATAATTTAAGTTGTCAAAAAATTTGTGCAGTCAACTGATTTTGTATTTGTATTGAATTCATTATTTACTTAACTATTAAATATTAAGCATCGTCCATCAACTCATCAGTGTTAAAAAGTAAAAGATTCCAGACAAAAGTTTTTATTTTGTAATTCCACGATAGACTGTAATTTTTATAAAGAAGTAAAAAAATAAGAATAGCGTGCCGATTTCATTAAAAACGAGATTCTTATTTCTTACTTTGCTTAATTTTTTAGTTTGTGCATAAACTAGTTTTACAATGAACCGAGAAAGAATGCATTTACTATTTCCGAACGTGTCGATATGGTGTTAGTGTATGGTGCAGCCGAAGAAAATGCGCTCGCGGCGACTAGGTTGTACCGGGAAGGATGACCACAACGTCACCTCCATGTGCACATACAATCTCCTACAGTGCGTTCAGCGGCTGCGAGATAGGGGAAGTGTTATTCCTCGAGGAGAAGGACGTGGTCAGCAAGTGAACCTTAATGTTGATGCAGTGTTGGAAAATCTTGACGAAAACCCCACAATTAGTACTCGACGACTCGCACAGCCAGTAGGAACCTCATCTCGTACCGTACATCGCATCTTAAGGCGTCAGCTGTTGCACTCCTATCATCTGCAACCATTTCAACAGATTTTACCTCCAGATTATGATCAATGAATGCGTTTTTATAGATAGTTTTTACGGCAATGTGCCAATCAAGTACACTTTTCTGCTCATGTTTGTGTAACAGATGAGGCGACATTTACCCGTGATGAAGTGAATTTCCATAATATGCACATATGGGCCGATGAAAATCCTCACGCGAGCGATGGAGCTCCTCCACACAGTACTCGAGAAGTAACGACACTTTTGAATGAAATGCTTCCTCAGCGATAGATTGGACGCTTTGGTCCTGTGCCGTGGCCACCTCGGTCACCCGATCTAACTCTAATGGACTTTGATCTTTGGAGTCACTTGAAGTCATTGGTTTACAATACTCCAATTGCTAAGGTGGAAGAATTGCGAAACCGTATACCTACTTGAAGCTGACACAATTATGGGAATACCTGGAATTTGGGAAAATATTTGCCAAAACTGAGTGCGTCGGTGTCATGCCTGTATCCACGCTAATGGGGATCAATTTCAACAATTTCTCTATAAATGGTAAGTTTTATTTCATTTTGTTCCATATTTTAATGGAGTTTGTTTAGTGCCCGTAGTTGGCAACTACAGATGCTTACAGATGTGGTTTTGTTTGCGAACTCTTGCAGTAACAACAATGCATTTAAGATAGTAATTACAATTAACATAATAAGAAAATATCAGTTTTTTTTAAATATCTATTTTTCTTAGTTTGTACTCTTGCATTGAAAAATTCCCCAAAAATTGAGAAGTATCTTTCTATCTTTCGCGGCTGGTCTACGGTAACTCGTCATATAGAACACGGAAAAATAGACTTTTTTTGTATAAGACTTTTCTATTACAAAGATCGTTAGGAAGTTCACACGCCACACTCTGTATACTGTTATCCATTTGGAAGGATGATATAAAAATTACTTTCAAGTCAACTTAGGTAGAATTCGTTTCGTTTTCAATATACAGGGTGTTGAAATTTGAAAAAATATCACATTTTCTGAAATATCTCTCGACATGTTTGATGTAGACCGATGAAAATAAGGCTATTGATTTATCTAAATAGAAATAAAAACTCACTAAGTTGACTTAAAAATATGTCCCTCAGTGGCGGAGATTCGAGGGGTCAGTACCACTAGGAGTCTCAGAATTTCGAACCCAGTGAGTATTCTGCAAATTCGATTCAAGCTTTTTATTATCAATTGAATTTATAAGGAAAAAGATATCATACACTTTTGCTCGAAGAGAGTTAATTTAGAGTTATGATTTTTTGGCTTATTTAGTTTGCCAAAGACATACACAATATGTAATCTCTATTTTTTTACACCCTTTACGATAAAGGCACAAAAGTAGTATTTTTAGATAGCTTGAACCTTAAACTAAAAAAGGTACTGTTGATTGATATCGATAAAATGTTTTCGAGAAAAAACTATTTTTGTTTATAAGATTTTTATTACATCCGTAAAGAGAAATAAACCGATGAAATCGGCAAACCAAATAAGCCAAATTGTTTCATGGGACAATTTTTAAGGATTTAACTTATCTGTTGTCCATCGTATTAAAAAATAATTAAATTACACAAAGTATTTAAATGTTACTAAAAAAAATTCGATCTTCGGGGGTTCTTTATGGGCCTGTGTGGGGAAATTTTTTATAAGAACTTGTCATGTTCTTTTAACATCCTCTGTATAAATTCGAGAAATTGTCCACATATTCTGGGACATCCTGTATACTAATAAATAATATTAAGTCATAAAAATCCTCAAAATTGTTAGCAATAAATTAGAACTAGTTCTGTCTTGTTTCTCGTCCAATTTATTGAAGCCATTAAATTTAACACAACTTTTTATACTTATACATTATATCTTGGTCAATTTATTAGCTTAAAGATTGGTCCATGAATAAAATAATTTTACTTGGAAAAAGATATAAACGAATGAAAAATCACAAAAAAACTTACCTTTCAGCGCTTTACTTTAAGAGATATTAGAATCGTGTTCTTCACAAATATTCCAAATGATTACGGCTCTTCGAAGTCTACTTTGGTGGTTCGATCTACCTATCCTATGAGTAGACATTGGGCACAAAAAGCTAATAACAAATTTCTTCAACGGCAAGATGTTCGTGCAGCTTTGGCGATCGTCATAGTACATTATTATAGTTATAAAATAAAAAAAATATATACCAAACAGGCACTATAGTCTAACAGTAAACAAAAGATCACTAAATAACAATAAATTAAACTTGCGCCAATGAAAATAGAAAACACGCTCGTTCTAGTTACGACGGTTTGATAAGTATTATCAACTAACAAAACTACAACTGTTTTTCTACACTTTGAGTAAAAACTAACGAGTGGATTGTCTTCAAAAATTTCATCTTTAACACGTTTGCAAATGATCTGAATTTTGTCCAAAGTAATTTTATGAGCAGCCTCAAGAAATTTATACAAGGTGTGATAAATAAAATCGACTAGAAGCCTTTAGATATATTCTATATTTAGGTATCTACATATAAGGGCTAATAAAACCAAGAAACTAAAAACTGTCTCATAGTATGTATTTTCTGCTTTGATGGGCTCAACTGCAGTATTACGTGCAGTGCCGTAGCATTACTTTGCCTTCAACTAAGTGAACATTCCTTTATTAACGCCTGAATTAATTCATGCATCTTTTTGCGTTTGTTTTTTAGGCCTTTAGCCTTTATATCACTTTACTTTTCCTCATATTAAGCAAAGGAGCATTTAGAACGAAACTTTTGATAGACATTTGCCGAAATCTGGCAACTCATGTTATGTTCTGTATCATACGGCAAATGCAATGTTGATATTTTAAATAATACATACTAGGTTATTTAAAGCTGTTTGCCGTATTCAGTCCGCACCTGTGGACGGAGCTAACTCAGACGCAAACATATTTGTGAATCTTGGGTAAGTGTTTTCAAATATAACGACGAGATTTATTGTTACAGCTACGTTCAGGTGCTTTGGGCCCTAGAACTAGCTGATACGCACAGAGGAAGGGCCTTTGAAGAATGTACGGCTGATCTACAAGTGGATATGGTCGCAGGAGCAATAATAGAGGGGGTGGCGACTTGTATATGCAGACTGATATCGAGGACTCTTAGTGAGAGCAATGCTAAGTTTGGAACTGTTTTGGATGCCTTCTTTGGGACCATGATGGTTGTTGCAGGTAATTAAGTGATATACTGCAGAAATTAGCAAATAGTAAATTCACTGATTTCTATTTTTGAATTCGAAATAATATATCCAGTTTTTTTTGTGGATGTAGAAACAAGATCAATATGTTTGGCCATACCAGACTGAAGTAGAAGGAAAACCATCTTTTACTTTAGAGTAACTTTGGCCAATACAAATTGCTGGAAGTAAGGATTGTTTAACATATCCTGATTGTTAAATGATTAAGAAATCCAGCGACACATTTATAATTGTTAGAAAACATATACAAAAAATAATATGTAAACAAGGACACAATAATCTGACAATTTGAAAAAAGGTATTTATTCATCAGAAATCATTAAAATTTGTCATATCTGTTAGAAAAGTCTATAGTGTTGTAACCTATTTCCAAAATACGATTTCTTAACTAAAATTTAAAAAATGACGTATATTAATTAATATACTTACGTACATTTCTATTTACAAAACATGTTATGAGTTTATACAGGGCGATTACAAATTTGGAAAGGATATTTGAAGAACAAATAAATCGAGGTGCGAAAACTCGATTGGCAAAAATATTTTTTCCAATAAGGATAATGAATTGTTAATACTTACCAATTTACCGCAATAACACAAACATTTTTAGACTACCAATGTTATCGATGGCTCGGCTGGCGCTATCTTATTTTAATACAGAGAAAAACACAGTTAAAAGTAAGGAAAAAAAAATAAATTACTTCACTTAAACATTAAACAACTAATAATTTAGTTTCAAGCTCTTAAATAAGTTTTTAATAATCATAAATAATCGTGATTATTCATTTTAATCTCCGTTTTGCAATTTTGATTATTGAAAATGTTTATAATTAACTCTACCACTAAAAAAAAAACATTAAAAAATCCTTTCCAAGTTTGTAAATATGTGTACCTACTATGTTCCAATTTGGGTGAAACAAATTTTAACCATACCTACCTGCTCAAAATAATATGAGATTATCCTTAACAAGCCATGGTACTATTTTATGTGTGATCCTATTTTGTACCATCTTCCGTGTACAGGGCCGTATTGATCGTTTTGGGATTTACATTTTTTCTAATATATTAACATAAACCGATTTAAACTAAACTTGTACAACTGCATAAGTTAATGCTGACTAGTACCTATAATATTTAGGTATAACTCTTTTTTACTCCAATTTTTACGCCACATCTAAAAAGGGTATACAAGTATAAAATTCTGAAAATAGATCGTTTAAAAGGAAATAAGAATTAAAAAACATGTTACATGACTTTTACAGGGACGAAAAATCAAATCGAAAAAACATTTGTTGTTACATTTTAATAAATAATATCGATGAAGACAACTGTAGGTAGAAACTAAACTAAAAAATGTTTAAACAATATAAAGCGGCTTTAATAATGTGGCTGATAACACAGCTACACAAAAAAATTGAGAAAATTACTCCTGTAGTCTGATTATGTCTATCATATGTTTTCGGGGTCGCTGAATTCAAATTCGGGGTCCATTCAACCCCATCACGTCATAACATCAAGAAATAGGTTCAAAAACCCAATAAATCCTCTATCCATTGACCATTATATCCTAATAACCCCATAACCCCTTAATCCCTTTAACCCCATAACCTCAAAATGCCATAACAGGGTTATGAGATTATGGGGTTATTAAAGCGTGTAGGCAACGAATATAGACCTCTTATAAAAGAACGGTCATAAGTTATGTCAGGGACGAAATTGAAATGCACGTAGAGCCTATACTAGACTATACACGTCCCCCAAGATTTTATTCCCGATTTCCAACCTTGAACGTTCTTCTATAAGAGGTCTATATTCGTTGGCAAAGATTTAAGGCTCAAGAAGCATGCATAGTTCGAACATACTGTGTTTCAGAACTTCAACGCGCATAAATCTTTTTCTTACCGGGTTGTGTGATTTTGGGGTTATGGCATTTTGAGGTTATGGGGTAAGGGGTTTTGGGGTTATTGGGATTGAGTGGTCAATGGATAGAGGATTTATTGCGTTTTTGGGCCTATTGTTTGGGGTTATGAAAAATTCTGAAGTGATAGGGTTAAATGGAATTTGGATTCAGCAACCCCAAAAACATATGATAGAGATAGTCAGACTCCACGAATAATTTTCTCGATTTTTTTTGTGGAGCTGTGTAATTTTTTTAAATTTTCCTCCAGGTCTCAAATGGCGAGCGACACTTTTCGACTATACATATGTATTTAGATTCAAACAATCCAAAGATAACTGCCTTTATTCTTGTTTATTAAAATTTAAACTTAAACTTTTATTACTGTAACAGTCATGTTACCTGATTCTTAAGAATTGTTTTCTAACGGTCCATTTTTCAGATTTCAAACTAATAGCCTTTTAAAATTATTCAGGGAATTAAAATAGATCTTAAACTGTGATTGTTAGTTCCATAAAATTTAAGGTAAAATATAAGAAAATACTAAATGAGATTATAGAGTTGTCTGTGTAATAACATTGTTCAAAACTTAGTTTAAAACAGGTTGGCTATGCATAACAGAGATGTTAGAATATACTATCTATGATCTCGAAAAAAAAAAAAAACAAAGGTATATCAAAAAAAAAATCTATATAATTTTCAAGTACCACCTGGGAAATTTAACACAATTCGGAAAAACGGAAAAAGTTATGTCTTTTCCATTTTCTCGAAGCAAAAAATTAAAAAAAAAATGGAAAAATTGAAGAAATTTGAAATAAAACTATTTGAAAAAAAATGTTATTAAATCATTGTTTCATACATATTTTGCAGGAATCAGGATGAACTCATTCTCAAAGTAGTGTTTTACTAGAACGAAAGATAAAATATAAACATATTAATTTAATAAAATATAATAAATTGAATGAAAAGAAAAAATCGGTCTACTAAAACTAAAACAAAAAAAAAAACAATATTTAAAATGATTTTCAACAAAATTTGATCATAAAAACAAACTAAAACACTGAGCTAAGAGAAAAAAAAAACATATTGCAGATTTCATGTTTGATACTTCTGATTCCTGATTCCCTTCTTGGAGAAAAATCTGTTTTCTCTGATGCCAAATTTTTTTATTTAATTTCGGATGTCTATCTGTGATTAAAGTTTGATTGATCTAAACCAGAGTTTACAAGAATACTTACCCAACGTTTCTGTTCTTCCTTTCAGCATTCAACTTTTCCGGCGGGTACTTTAATCCAGCCCTAGCGACCGCACTTAAACTTGGCTGTGAAGGGAACACATTCACGGAACATTTGGTGGTATACTGGCTGGGCGCAACTGTTGGTTCCATATTGTCAGTATTTATATTTAAAATAAAGCCCATCCAGAACTACGTTAAGAAGCTCAAGGAGAAACAAGAATAGTTGATGCAAAAATGAAGTTGTATTTTTTATTTTTAATATTTGATCTTGTCTAGTCATTTGAAGAGATTTTTTCGAAAATATACGATATGTTACGTATGTACCGTTTTTTTGGCTACCGACACAAACATAAGAATTTGGAATACTTCTGAGGATTGGGAGGCTTCTTTGTATATATACTTTGCTGCAGGTGTGCCAAATTATGTTCAATTTCTCTCCTGTACATACAATCAAGATATTCAAAGTAACAAAGATTAAATCACACATTTTTCGAGTAGGAATTAGAATTTGGGATATACCTAGTAATATGCACAAATTATGATCTAGATCCCACACGATCAACTGAGACTCGGAGTGTTTCTATCATAGCACAGTTTAGTATTCTTTAGCTGCGTTTTCAACTGCTTCATAGTGCCAGAATTTTCGAGACTGGGATAAGTAACTAGATAAACACAAACACAAAAGTGACGCCCGTCCTGGGTTTTGATTAAGGGGACCAAAACAAATCGAAAATCAATAGTGAGAAATTTTCCGTTTATTTTTGTTTGTCGAGTTATTCAAAAAACAAAAACATAATCATTTGGGTTGGGTTACCAAATAATTATGTAGTTCAGAGATGTATTTACTGCAGATATATGTTTTTAAATGAAAACTTACCATTGCCATTGCTGGATGACGTTAAGTTTACAGTTAGACTAAATTATTGGTTTCAAGGTGATGAAGCTCCATCACATTATGGTTTACGAGTATGAAGTTATCCGATTAAAAACTTCCCAGACAAATGGATTGAAAGAGGGTAGAGCCATAGCATGGCCTCCTAGATCACCAGATCTGAATCCCCGAGACTATTCTTTTGGAGGTAGTTAAAAGAAAAGATTCACAGCGAACCTGCTGTAAATCCAGAAAATGTAGTAGCCCGTATACACGCTACTGTCACCTTAATAAACCAAGAAATGCTACAAAGCGTTCTTGCTTTATTGTTGAATCGTGCTAATCTTTGTTTTAAAGTAAAAGGCAACTTATTTGAACACCATTTGTAAAAACAATTTCTATTATTTAAGAACTTATGGTTTTAGTTTTTATATATTTTATAAAATAGTTTTATTATTAAAATGTTTTTCTCTATCCTTTTCAGATTAAAATAATTCCTTACACCAAGGTACAACCGACAATCGGAAACTATACTTACAGACTATTGGTTATAAATTATTCGTCTTGGTCCCCATAAGCACAGACCTCAGTTTTAAGACAAAAAGAAAGGGATTTTCACTTTTCTAGTTTTTTGAATAACTCAATAAAGAAAAACAATAGGAAAATTTTCTGTGCGCCGCTCTTGTAGTTCGGGCTTCTTCCGCTAGATGGGTGTTACGTAACCCGTCCTGAGTCAGTCTGCCAAATGGCGTGTCTTGAGATGGTGGTACCGAGTCCCTGAGACAGTTTTCGTACGACGACTATTTCAATCGCATCAATTTTTTTAAATGGTTGATATTCGAGAACAGCGTGCGGCATTGAAATTTTTTTCCTGCTTGGTAAAAGTGCATTGTACAGTTCTGATACCTTCGTCGAGAAATTCTCACGACCATTGTTCCCTTGAAAAATATACATACTTGGGCTCTCGTAGTTCGCATCTAAATCTGTAACGTGTTTACAGCGGTGGTTATGGTTACTGTAGTGCAGCAGTGAAAGACAGGAGTGGGAGTGGCACATATTTACAGTTTTGGGCTCTGTTTAGTCCTTCAGTAATCAAATGACAGCTATTCACTGCTTTTTTCTTATTAAACGTAATTTGTTTACGTGTGGTGTAAAATTTTGTTACCTACATATTGTTTCGTGTGTATTTTAACATATTGTAAAAGTTTAAATTAGCCTGTAAAAATAAACTAACAATACTTGCAATGCAAAATCAACCTTTAATGAGAAAATAGAAGAACGGATTTTCACTATAAAAAATAATGTTGAGCACATTTCCCTATATTTAAATAGTACTTAAAATAATACTATCCAATTATATTTGAATTTTTTTAGACCTTTTTCACACCTTCAAAGAGAAAAAATAAAAATCAGAAGATGCCAAGTCAGGGTTGTGAGCGGGGTGGTTGATGTTCCTATCGAATAAATCCAAGAGTTGCTTTGTGGCGGTGGCTGTGTGGGGACGTGTATTTAATTCTCATGCTACACACACACTCCCTTTTGTTCTGTATCACCCTGTGTAGTGTTTTTAAGATTTCACAGCACCGTGCAGCATTAATTGTTTCCCTCTGAGGTAAAAAGTCAATGATAAGAATCCCTTTATGGTTCTAAAACAGTTACCATGATTTCTTTCAGGCCAAAAAAAAAACAGTTGAAAGTTTTCACTTACAGGGTGTCCCAAAATTGATGCAATAAAATTTGGACACAGATTCTTAAGGCAAATTTAGGGGACACATATTTTTTATTTTTGCCAAGTGGCCCCTCTTTTGGCGTTACAGCCCCCTGAAATCTGCCCCTAGGAAGTCTTTTTTTATACTTCAGAACCTTGTAGGAGATTCACTAATTTTGGTACACAGGGGTTTTGACATGCAGAATCTGACAGTGCTACGGTACCACCTTAAGACACTATTTCCTGTGCCCCCTTGTTTGTGGACCCAAAATTTTTTTATCGCAATTTGAATTTCTTAAAAATTATTATTAGTCCACTATAGAAAGCCATTGAATATAGAAACTTTTTTTGTCTCTAGGTATTTTTTTCTTAAATGCAAGGTTTTTGAGAAAAATGACAAAATGTGATCGAATGTATATCATCCTTCGCCATTTTTCTTGAAAACATTGCGTTTTTCGAAAAAAATATTAAGGGACAAAAAAGTTTCTAAATTCAATGACTTTCTAGTTTAGCAAACAAATAATTTTTTAAAAATTCTAATATGCAAATAAGTTTTTTTGGCACAAAAAAGTGTTTTAAAAGGGTTCTCTGCCGAAAAGCGTAGCACCATCAGATTCCACATGTTATAAAACCCCTGTGTATCAAATTTAATGATTCTCATACGACAGGGTTCTGAGATATAAAAAAGACTATTCTTAGGGGCGGATTTCAAGGGGCTGTAACTCCGAAAGAGGGGCACTTGGTAAAAAGAAAAAATACGGGTCCTCTAAATTTGTTCTAAGAATCTGTAACCAAATTTTATTGAATTAATTTCGGGACACCCGGTATTGATTGTCCTTTCGTCTCGGGGGTGTAATCATTTCATCTTCAGTCACTTCCAGTTCAGAATGCTCAAAAAATTCCCGTGAAGATGCGATCCTGTAGACTTTGTGTCGATCTCTGAGCTGTTTTTGTACTCACCTCACACACAATTTTCGATAAAGTGGTTCAGTAATGATTTCATGCAGAATAGATCTGGAAATTTGGCGAAACACTGCGTTCAGTCATGAATGAGGGATGCCCATTCCTTTGTTCATCATGAACATTTGTTCTGCCAGCTTTATACTCACATCACTCGTCAGTTTTGATTTCGTTAAAAATCTGGAACATCTCTTTGCCATTAGAAACCGGATTACACTCCTCATCTCGCAGCTGGTTCAGAATAGCGACGCTCATTCCAACGTGCCACTACAACAACAGTTCTCAACTGATAGAAAAAAGAGTTCACATTCCGTCCCAACATTTTAGCTTTTAATGTAGTGTTGCCAACTTTGTCAATAACAAAAGCCACAGAACATCAGTGTCTCAGTACTCTTACTTTGTGGATGTACCTCGTACAAAACTCAATTTCGGACTGATTTAACAAGAGGGCTCTACAGCAAATAGACAACCAGCAATACATTTTTACAGATTTTATTACACAGTTTGTCTAAATGTGAATTAATAACAGTCTTTCCCCCATTTTAACGCAGATTTTCTATAAAATGGACTCGGTTTGAAACTCAAGTTACTTTTTAGTGTAAAGAAATTTGTTAATTTACAGTGCCTCCTGTTCAAAAGCAGCAAATTTCATCTTCAGTCACTACATTCAAGGAATTGTTCACCTTCCAGTTCAGATGCGATTCTGTTGACTTCGTGTCGATCCGTGAGCTGTTTTCATACCAACCTAGCACACAATTTTCAATAATCAAGTGTTTCAGTAATGATTTCATGCAGAAGAGATCAGGAGATTTGGCGAAACACGAATGAGGGACGCTCACTTCTTTGTTCATCATCAACATTCGTTCTGCTAGCTTTATAGTCACGACATCACTTGTCAGTTTTAATTTCGTAAAAAAATTGAAACGGCGCCTTTTCCTTTGTAACAAGAAACCGGATTACGCTTCTCACCTCGCAGCTGGCAGGATTCACAATATCGGCACTCATTTCAACATGCCACTACAACAACAGTTCTCACCCGACTCAGAGAAATGAGTACCTATTCTGCTCCCAATACTTTGGCCTTTAACGTAATGTCAACTTTGTCGATAACAAAAACCACAGAACATCAGTCTCAGTACTCTTACTTTGTTGTTATGCCCCGTACAAAACTCAATTTCGGACTGATTTAACCATTAAGAGGGCTCTACAGCAAATAGGCAACCAGCAATACGTTTTTATAGATTTTATTACACAGTTTGTCTAAATATGAGTTAATGCACAAATAACGGACTGTCCCCCATTTTAACGCAGATTTTCTATAGAATGGACTTAGTTTGAAACTCAAGTTACTTTTCGGTGTAAAGATATTTGTAATTTACGATGCAAATTACAAATTTCTTTACAACAAAAAGTAATTTGAGTTTCAAACTAACTTCATTTTATAGAAAATCTGCGTTACAACGGAGGAAAGTCTGTAATTTGTGCATTAATTCATATTTAGACAGACTGTGTAATAAAATCTATAAAAATGTATTGCTGGTGGCCTATATGTTCTAGCGCCCTCTTAAGCCGCGATTATTTTTTATTGATTTTAGGGAAATCTTTGAAGATGTAAACATTGAACATTTAAGTAGATCTTTATTATAAAGAATACAAATAATAGGTAATAACTGTATTAATCTAAAGTATAAGTGTAAAAAAGAATACTTTCCCAAATACATATTTATGAAATAATACGAACTGATAAATAATACTCAACTTCTAAAAAAATGTAGTACTTATTAATTATCATGGAATAACGAATTTGGAAATATTAAAGCAAGATACATACTTTGCTATCCTAATAGTCATTCTCATTTTCGTCTATAATACAAAATTCATCAATTGTAACCATTAAAAACCGTTATATTTTTGACGTCAGTCAACAACTTCAGGTTTTAGTATAATTTCTCAATTGTATAGATAGATATAGTTCACGAATGTGTGTAGTTATTTTTCTAAAAAATATCAGAATCTCAATTAGTCAGTTGCTTCGCACAACAAGAATTTCCCTAGTTTCATACAATAAAAACCAAACTTGAAATTTCAGCTGAAAAATACCGCAACGCGAAGCTTTTCAACTGAAACCCACTCATTTCACTCACGAATTATGTAACTTATAATATAAATATTTAATAATAAACAAATTCAACAAATTCATATAAATAACCAATTCCAATATATTTCTTCATCAATTCTCATTAAGTAGTATATACAGAGCTACCGATTTTTTAACTTTTTTTTATTTGAGTGCATAGTAAAACCCTATTACTTTAATCAAAGCATAATTTTCTCTAATAATTTCATATAACTGCAAATTTTAACACTTGAGGCGTCATGGATATAGTTATTTGCGAGACAACATTTTCTGAGGTTATGGCTTGTATTTCCACGAACTCACGACAGACATTCCACTTTCGTTCATTTACCCACAAAATTACAGAATTTTGTACAGCAATTGAAATTATTGAACACGCTGTGTATCGCTAAAAAAATTGTAATATTTGGCAGCGACTGAAAAAATCTAGAGTAAGTACATTTTGAATCTTATCTTAGCAGTCCATGATGAAAAATATCAAAAATAGTGTGAAATAAATAAAAATTTAATTCCCATGGAAAAAAACACCCTGTAAATTTTTTTATGGTTTTTGACTTCTTTATACAACACTATATTTTTTATGTGTCAAATTTCTGGCTGACTGCTTTTGCAACAGAATTGCATTACAGCGTTTTGATTAAGGGGGCTCTATAGCAAATAGGCAACCAGCAATACATATTTATAGATTTTATTTGTCTAAATATGAATTAATGCGCAAATAACAAACTTCCCCGCATTTTAACGCAGATTTTTTATAAAATGGACGTAGTTTGAAAGTCAAATTACTTTTTGGTGTAAAGAAATTTTCAATTTACACAGCAAATTATAAAGTTCTTTACAACAAAAAATAATTTAAGTTTCAAACTATCTTCATTTTATAGAAAATCTGCGTTAGAATGGAGGAAAGTCTGTTATTTGTGCATTAATTCATATTTAGACAAACTGTGTAATAAAATCCATAAAAATGTATTGCCGGTTGCCTATTTGCTATAGAGCCCTCTTAAACAAAATGATTTTATGTAAAAACTCATAATGCAACATAAACTTTACCCAAGAGATGATATACAGTGTGTCCCATATAGAAATGTGTATTTCTATTTGTAAAAAAACACACTTATGTAAGATGCTTTTCGTTGGAACTCGAAAACGAATTAGGAAAATAAACAAAATTTAAGTCATAAAAAATTTCAAGTTTGAACTCCAAATTTTGAGTTTAGATAAAACCTTTCAAGTTTGAATTAAAAAATTTCATGTTTGTCCTCGACATTTTTTCTCTGAACTTGAAATTTCAAGTACAAAACTCAAAATTTTAAGTTCAAATGCCAAACTTCAAGTTTCACACCCACTCTTTTCAGTTCACAGTAGAAGTTCCTAGTTCAAACTTGAAATTTTGAGTTCAATTTAACGAATTAAAACATAAAATATATATTCTTAAGTAAACTTTGGAATTTCAAAGTAAAATTCCAAATTTTGGGACTGTACTTGACATATTTTATTTCAAACTTGAAATTTCAAGTACAAAACCCAAAATTTCAAGTTGAAACGCCAAATTTCATGTTTCAAACCCACCCATTCAAGTTCATAGTAGAAGTTCCTAATTCAAACTTGAAATTTTGAGTCCAATTTGACGAATTAAAACATATAATATATATATTTAAGTAAACTTCGGAATTTCAAACCAAAATTCCAAATTTTGTGACTGTACTTGACATATTTTATTTCAAACTTGAAATTTCAAGTACAAAACCCAAACTTCGTGTTTCATACTTGAAATTTCAAATTCATAATTGAAGTTTTACAATTTATACTTGGTATTTTGTGTTTATACTTGAATTTTAGAGTTCAAATTGGTAAATGAACTGGAAAAATAAACAAAATTTGAGCCATAAAAAATTTGACTTTTTCAAAATGAAAGATTCAAACTGCTATCTGTATTGATCTGATTTTTATGATTAAAAACTAGTTTCAATCGTGAAATGATCATAAATACGCCAGGCTGTGGGTATAAAAAATAAATATACAATCATACACCGTTCGCCTAAAAAAAAAAAAAAAATTAGTAAATATTTCTCATATGGATTAATTAATGTCTCGTGCCTCACGCCAAAAAGGAGTTTTAATGAAAAAAACACCAAAATCGTACAATACTGCATAAGAACACACCAACCGGTTTATACAGGATGTTCGGAAACTTGAAATAATCCTTTAGATCTTCACAATTCCGCTTTTTATGACATTACATGTCATTCATGAATTGTTATGATAAAATTATAATTTAAAGATAGAGAAGTTAAATTACTTGGAATAATATTTTGTACGATCACTTCCTGACACCCCGTATAAACTATATTTACAAACATAACGAGCCATGCCAAGCAAGACACCCCACGAACTAAAACAAATTTACAGGACGGATAACGGCTACAAACGGATACATCTCGCAAAAATACCTTGATTGAAAAATTGTACGCTTCTGGTGTTATTTTTTAGAACACTCTTCAGATAAACTGATGTTAATGGACAATTTTGGAGTATGAAACAAAACGCGAAATGTATAAGTACAGAATGATGGGCAAAGTGATCGGAAAATCAAAAATTTTGTCACAGTTTCACCAGACAAAAATAATCGTTTTGGTAAAATGTTCGATAAGCAAAAGAATAATTTTTGCAAAGTAAACTTCATCACATCAAAGCAATATTGCAAACAAATTTCAAATCTACAGGACAATATTTCAAGTTCGAACTTAAAATTTTGAGTTTGGTCAAGAAATTCTGAGTTTCAAGTTGAAATTCCAAGTAGGAAACTCAAAATTTCAAGTTCATACTCGAATTTTTAAATTCCAATTTGAAGTTTAAACTTTGAACTTCAAGTTCAAACGCCAAACTTTATGTTCCAAACCTGATATTTCAAGTTCGTAGTAGAAGTTTCGACTTCAAACTTGAAATTTAGAATTCGATTTGATGGATTAAAACAAAATGTATATTTTTTAAAGTAAACCTTATTATATCAAAATAATGCAACCTGAATGAGACCCTAAACTTGACAAATACAATAAGTATTAAAAAATATGTTGAATTTGAAACCTGTTTCAAGTTTCAACTCGAAAACTTGAGTTTGGACCGGAAATTTCGAACTAAAATTACAAATTTTGTGTTTGTACTTGACATTTTTCGTTTAAACTTGAAATTTCAAGTACAAAACCCAAAGTTTCAAGTTCAAACTTTAAGTTTCAAACCCGATATTTCAAGTTCGTAATAGAAGTTTTGAGTTCAATTTCAAAATTTAGAATTCAATTTGGTGGATTAAAACAAAATTTATATATTTGTAAGTAAACCTCATTATATCAAAATAATGCAACCTGAATGAGACTCTAAACTTGACAAATACAATAGGTATTAAAAAATAAACGTTGAATTTGAAACCCGTTTCAAGTTTCAACTCGAAAATTTGAATTTGGACAGGAAATATCGAATTAGAACTTCAAATTTTGTGTTTGTACTCGACATTTTTGCATTAAACTTGAAATTTCAAGTACAAAACCCAAAATTTCAAGTTCAAATGCCAAACTTTATGTTTCAAACCTGATATTTCAAGTTCGTAGTAGAAGTTTCAAGTTCAAACTTGAAATTTAGAATGCAATTTGATGGGTTAAAACAAAATGTATATATTTTTAAGTAAACTTATTATATCAAAATAATGCAATCTGTATGAGACTTTAAATTTGACAAATACAATAAGTATTAAAAAATAAATGTTGAATTTGAAACTGTTTCTAGTTTCTACTTGAAAACTTGAGTTTGGACAGGAAATTTCGAACTAGAACTCCAAATTTTGTGTTTATACTCGACATTTTTCCTTTGAACTTTAAATTTCAAGTACAAAACCCAAAATTTCAAGTTCAAACGAAAAACTTCATGTTTCAAACCCGATATTTCAAGTTCATAGTAGTTTCCAGTTCAAACTTGAAATTTCAAACTCATAGCTGAAGTTGTGCATTTATACTTGAAATTTAAAGTTCAAATTGGTAAAAAGAATTTTTGTTAAGTAAAATTCAAGTCCAGTCTCGAAATTTCATGAATTTCGAAATTTTGAGTTTGATTTTGAAAATGAGTAAATAAGAAAATATTTACATTAATTTTGGAGTTTTTTCTAACATAAATAGTTGTTTTAAGTTTTTATATTAAAATATTGATAGTTCTTTATATTTTTCACAGTATTTCCAAGTTTTAACATTTTTTTGTGAATTTTGTATATTCTTTTGTTTGAAATCAAGAAAAAGTACTCTTAAACACTGAAAACTAATAAATTCTATTCCTCAACTAGTTACGAAATTGATGATTTTCTGATTACTTCGACGCACACAGAAATATTACTTTTTCTGATTTTTTTCCATGTTTTTCATCGACGTCTGAGGAAAATTGTATTTTCAACATCGAAAAGTATAGCACTCTAATTTCATACTCCAACAAAAAAAAAATTCTAATCAGAGAAACAGCTGCCAAAACGAAAACATCCAACAAAACCAAGTTAACACTTGAAAATAAGTATGCCCGGAATGTGTAAAGTACAACTTAACGTACTAGTTAACTCGTATTGCTCATATATTCCCTAACGCGAATCGAATATTCCTCATGGTGCTGCTACAAATACAATAATACATAGCCTCAAATACTGTCGGCTCCGTTGGACTAAACAGAGTTGTTGTTTTAAAAAATATCTTGTACCTGCCATACAAAATATCACTCGATTAAAAATTCCAAACATCTACCTACTAATTTTAATACTTATGATAATAAAAAAAAGTCCGTCCTCCCTCGTAAACGAGGCGTCCCCTCGACGAAACGCTACCGAGAATCGTACAAGACATTGATTAAAATAACCGATCGGTTAAAATATCTCCTAAATCAACGTTATCTCTAGTTCAAAGGAAGGCAAAAGATATTTTGTAGGATAGATTTGCTGGGACGCATGTCTACCTGGAGGAAGCTGTCGTCGTAGTCGCCGAGGTTGGGCGGCGGCGGCGGCGGAAGGAGAGGCGGCGGATAGCGATGTACGGGAGGAGGGGGTAAGTTGTTGGGGTGTAGGGCGCAGAGAACGTTGTGTCACACGCAGTCTTCCAGCGACATGAGGAGCGGGTTCACGTACTCAAAGCCCTCGAATTCGCTCTGGTCGATCTTCTCAATCACACGCCTGGAAAAATATGTACTAATATTAATTCAAAGTTTTAAGGCAATTGAATCGTTTCAATATTAAACACGGGGAATATAAACTACGTATTTAAACAAAATAAAAAATTGATTTTCTTCAATATTCATTCAAAAAATGATACTTAGCAGAACGAAATTTCAGAATCAAATTAGAACGAAAATATTAGGAATGTTTTTACAAAGAATGGAACTGAGAACAGAATTGGAAATTAAATGTAAAAAAGTTCACATCATTAAATATACAACTTACGAAAAAGGTTTTGGAGCAATGTATACATTACGTTCCTAGTTTTGTACTCAGCAGAAAAAGCTACACTAACTCTTTATTCTGTTTTTGATTTCGTTCTCTATAATTTCATTACTTTGTGTCTAATTTTCAGTTTCAGAAAGACACTTCTAGTATTTTGCTTGTGAAAGGGCAAGAAACAGGAACGAAATCATTTAAATTTAAACACAACAAAACTAAAAATGCATGTAGTACAATATAGATGAGTAAGTTTCAGGTCAGTACAAAAAACAAAACTGTGGAAGACGTATGAAAAGGTGGATAAATATTTTTCAAACAATGAGAACGAAATTGTGAATGAAACACAAGAAAGTTCATTCTATTACATGTTCAGATATTCGTTCACAAACAAAATAAAAGTTTTTCAGCATTTTATTTTCAACAAAAATGTTTGTTTGAACATTACTTTCCCAGTTTTGTACTCAGTAGGAACGCTACAATAACTCTTTATTTGTTTTTGATTTTGTTCTCTATAATTCCATTAATTTATAATTTCAGTTTACGAAAGCCGCTTCTACTTTGCTTGTGAAACAAAAAAAAGTAATGTGTGTTGTACAACATAAACGAACAAATTTCAGGTCAGTATAGCAAAATGAAGTTTCAGGATTCAAGGAGTATGAAAATACTAGACACGTTTTTACAAAGAATTAAACTGTGGAAAAGCTAAGAAGTGGATCAAATATTCTTCCAACGATAAGAATGAATTAGGGAACGAAATGCTATTACATGTACAAATATTCGTTCACGAATAAAACAAAAGTTTTACCGCCTTTTACTTTAAGCAAAAATTTTCCTTTATGCAGTACACTCCCAGTTTTGAATTCAATAGGAACGCTACACTAACTTTATCCAGTTTTTGATTTCGTTCTCTATAATTTCAAAATACTTTACATCTGATTTTAAGTTTAAGAAATCCTTCCAGTGTTTTACAAAACCTAAAATGTGTTGTACAGTATAGATAAACTAATTTCAGGTCAGCAATGCAAAATGAAATTTAAGAATTCAAATACAGAAAAAATACTTGGCATAGTTTTTCAAAGCACGAAACTGAGGAAGAGGTATGAGATGTTATTGAGAACGATGAGAATGGAAATGGAAATGAATTGTAAGAAAATTTACATCATTAAGTATTCAGATATATGTTCACAAACAAAAAAAGGATTTGCTCCTTTTTACTTTTAATAAATATGCTTCTCTATACATTACGTTCTCAGTTTTGTACTCAGTAGGAATCGTACGGAAACTTTTTATTCTGTTTTTGATTTCGTTCTCTATAATTTCATTACTCTTTGTCTCATTTTCAGTTTCATAAAGACACTTCTAGTAATTTGCTTGTGAAAAGTCAAGAAACAGGAACAAAATCCATCATTTAAATGTTAAAAACAACAAAACTAAAAATGTGTGTTGTACAATATAGAAGAGCAAATTTCAGGTCAGTACAAAAAACAAAACTGTGGAAGAGGTGTGAAAAGGTGGATAAAATATTCTTCAAACGATTAGAACGAAATTTGGAATAAAATGCAAGGAAGTTCATGCCATTACATGTTTAGATATTCGTTCACAAACAAAACTTTTATAGCATTATATTTTTAACAAAACTGCTTGTCTATACATTACTTTCCCAGTTTTGAACTCAGTAGGAACGCTACACTAACTCTTTGTTCAGTTTTTGATATTTCGTTCTCTACAATTTCATTAATTTATATTTTTAGTTTACGAAAGCCGCTTCTACTTTGCTTGTGAAACAACAAAACTAATAATGTGTGTTCTACAACATAAATGGACAAATTTCAGGTTAGTATGGCAAAATGAAGTTTGAGGATTCAAAGAGTATGTAAATACTACACATTTTTACAAAGAACGACAGTGGAAGAACTATGAAGTTGATCAAATATTTTTCCAACGATAAGAACGGATTAGAGAACAAAATGCTAGTACATGTTCAAATGTTCATTCACAAATTTTCATTTATGCATTACCATCCCAGTTTTAAATTCAATAGGAACGCTACACTAACTCTTTATCCGGTTTCTGATTTTGTTCTCAGTCAGTAATGCAAAATGAAATTTAAGAATTCAAATAGAGCAAAAATACTTGTGCATGATTTTTTAAAGAACGAAATTGAGAAAGAGCTATGAGATGTTCTTGAGAACGATGAGAACGGAATTGGAAATGAAATGAAAGAAAATTTACATCATTAAGTATTCAGATATATGTTCACAAACAAAAAAAGGATTTGCTGCATTTTACTTTTAATAAATACGCTTCTCTGTACATTACGTTCCCAGTTTTGTACTCAGTAGGAATGCTATGGAAACTTTTTATTCTGTTTTTGATTTCGTTCTCTATAATTCTATTACTTTACATCTCATTTCAAGTATAAGAAAGATATTTCTAGTGTTTGGCTTGTGAAAAAACAAGAAACAGGAACGAAATCTATTATTTAAATGTTACAACACACAAAACTAAGTGTATGTGTGTAGAGAAAATTTCAGGTCAATAATGCAACATGAACTTTGAGGATTCAAAGTGGATGAAAATATTAAGCACGTTCTAACAAGACAAGACGAAACTATGAAGTGGTTCAAATATTCTCCCAACGATGAGAACGGAACAGGGAATAAAACACAAGAAAGTTAATGCCATTACATGTTCAGATATTCGTTCACAAACAAAATAAAAGTTTTGCATCATTTTATTTTCTGCAAAATTGTTCCTCTAAGCATTACGTTCCCAGTTTTGTACTCAGCAAGAAAGCCACTCTCTCACTCTTTATTCTGTTCTTGTTTTCGTTATTATTTTTCACTTTACACTTTTAGTATTTTACTTGTGAAAGGACCAGAAACAGGAACGAAAGAGAGTTCAAGAGCATCGCTCTCTTCTCTTATTATATTCTTAAGGAATAATGAACAAAAAAAGGATGAAATTTCATTCTCAGATTTGTACCATGTAGAAATAGTACTTTTTTTTGTTCTTCATTTCATTCTCTACATAAACATTTCTCTATATCTCGTTTTTTTTTTAAAATACTAATAAAGGACAGAAAAGAAAACAAAACTGTCTATAACGCCTGGTTAAAAATGTGGATTATGTAAAATACTTTTGTATGAAGATTTATTAGCAAAATAAACAAAATCCTACAGAAAATGGTTTTGAATGTTGAGAATCAAACTCGACAGTTTGAATTCAATGAAAATAAAATGAAAAAACACAGAAGGTTTTGTCCAATAATTGCACTCATGCTGGATATAAATTTTGAAGACACAAGATCCATTTCGTTCTCGACAAGATAACATTCTCTCAACATACAATTCGCTCCAAAATTATTTTCTGGCAGAAATGACACTTTTTTTGGACTTTTATAAAAGCATTGTGCTCTTCCTTTTCTGTTACATTCTTAAGGAATATGTGAACAAAAAAATAAAAAGATGAAATTTCGTTCTCAATACTTGCAATTAGTTTTACGCATACTGCCACTGCCGATACAAACGGATAACAATGCCAACTGAAGATACTGAAAACATCTATGTCTATTGTAAAGAAGAACTTACGGATCATCGGGTGTAAGGTGCACAGGCTCGTCTGTAAATTCTGGAGGGAAATTAGCCAAGTCTCTGTCCGAGTCTAAACGAGGTTTGTACGGTGGCGGGACCTGCTTTTGTTCTAGCTGAAAGGACAAAGCAGTTCTAATGTTAAGCACTACATTATCAATCGTTGGACTTACAACATAAACTAGCAGTATACTTATTCAGAGTAATTATTAATCAACGGATATTACCAGCACACTGATAGCTTATTATTTGTGCAATCTAATTTGCTTACGTATCGTCAGCTGTAAAAATTAACGGTTCTCTTGTGAAGAGAGGATCAAAGTTGGCTAGAATATTGCTAGTTTTTGGAGTGAACGGCGGATATAAACATCTATTCCCCAGCTGCAAATATATATAATGTATTGATTATGCAATCGATTTAAATCATTACTCAAAAGAAATCGTTTTTTAACTCCCGTCTGACTATTTTTTTTGTACAGGGTGTAACTTTAAATAGATGAAAATATTTATACAGATGAAACACATAAGTTTGTTATTTTCAATTTTGTTGTAAAAACTGGCTTCGCGTTTTTAAACTGTTTTTTGCAATTTTCATACACTAATGCAAACAATTAAAAGGTCAAAAGAATTTCCGAAATTTTTCCATGATTTTTGACAGACTGTATTTAGGCGAAAAATGGTCGTATCGGAAATTAAAAAAAAAGCATTTTGAAGCTCCAGGATTCTAGTTTTTGGAGCTTTTGGTCAAAAATTTTTAGGAGCTACGGTTATCATGCAATTCTAAGAAATAGTGTGACAAAAAAATGTTACAAATTTTTTTTTTCACGGGCTTGGAAAATTTTTTTCAGAAAATTGAAGGACAGTTTCGAAAACTGGAATAAATTTCCTATAACATTAGAAATATTCACGAAATGACTAATGTTAAGCATGACTTTTACGGTTCGATATACCCAGAAGAACCCTATGAAGTTTTATCTCGATCTAGCGAACCGTTTCTTTGTTTCAAACAGTCAAATTTTTGAAAAAAATTAAAGGGTCACGTTTATCGACACTTCATAACCATGATTAAAATAGGAAAAAAAAAATTGAGGTTTTCTCACATTTTTACCGCAAATAACGTTTAAATGTAATTCTTTTGTTCATTAAATTCAATAAAAATAATTATTAGTTCATTCAATAAAAATAATTATTAGTTCATTGATATTTATTTTTAAAGGTCACTCGAAAGCAAAATAATTATGAGTGACTTAGAAATTAAAATATCGATTTGAAATTTTCAGAATCGAGATTTTTTTTCATCAACCTAGAAAATGATAAAATAACGAGAAAAATTAAAAAAAAATTCAATTTTTGACGATTTTGGAAATATTTTAAAATCTCGAGCGACCTCTAAAAAAATCTTTTTCCAGCCAATTTTTTGAGACGGCTCTAAAAACATGATAAACTAACATATTTAACATATGTAATTAACCTAAAATACAGGTAGGTCAAAAGTCAGAGATCACTGACACTGAGATTCACAAACTAAACAGAGAGCTTCAAAAAACGGCACAACAAAAACAACACACTTTTTTTACCAAAAAATTGAAATAATTTTATAAGACATTTCAAATCATCAGATTACTAAGAATTTTATTATACAGGGTGTTTGTAAATAAGTGCAAAATACTTTAGCGGTGGTTGCCGAAGTTATTTCGTGAATAAAAGTTCATATAAACGTATGCTTCATTTCCGAGATATAGTGTTTTAATTTGAATTTTTTATTTATTATTATTTTTATTAATTATTTCAGTTTTAAAAATATTGACTCGAAAAACACTTTGGAGGCATAAATGTGCATTTTTTTTGGCTGATCCGAATATTTCTACTTGCACCAGTGGCGTTTGTGCGAGAATCCCACAACTTTTTTAATAAAAAAAATGGTACACCCATTGATATTTTTTTAGAAATCCGCTATCAATTTTAAATGAAATTGGTCTCTTCAATATTTTTGCAGGATGCACCGTTTTTGAGGAAAAAAATAAAAAATTAAAATTTAAACACTGTATCTCGTAAACAAAGCATATTTCGACCATATGATATAAACTTTTTTTCACAAACTAACCAGCAACAATCCTCTAAAATATTTCGCAAGTATTTACAAACACCCTGTATATTTTTAAGTACTTTTTATAAAACAAAAAAATTATTTTTAAATACAAATTAGTTTCACTTACAATTAATAGTAACCAATATCTATCCACACACCGATTTAGCTAATATTTAATAAACCATGCAAAAAATAATCATTTTTCAAAAAAACACCTAAAAAGTATTCTAATGTTCGGCATTTCATAAAAACCGAAAAAAAAAATTATAAGTATGTGACTTTAAAGTAACATGTCGCAAAGCGATGTTTTTATAAAATTATTTTCCATTTCAATTTTGCTCTCTGCCACTACATTAGTTTCTATAGAAAAAAGTAACATCGATAAGCATGCTTATATAACTGACTTGGTGCTGCCCAGTGACGGTGTAGACAAAAGTTTAATTGCAATTTAAAAAACGAAATAAGGCTATTTATTTAATTAAAAAAATAAAATAATGTCAGATTAGTATTCTAGGGAACACGTAGTATTACCACCCCTATTTTAAGTTACACCCTGCGTATTTGTTGTTTTTTTTTAAATATATACAAATGCGTGAAATAACAGAAACATCATCAATTAATTATTAAAATTTAGTTTCGGGACGAAATACAATTATTTTTTAAATTTTAATTTGCATTGTTGGTGAGATCACCCCGTATACCGGTTCAGTGAATTTTTTCAAGTTCAAATATCAACTTACCATATCCCAATCGATGCTTTTGAAGAACTGATGGCCGGTAATCTCGACGAAGGCCTCCGGACTGTGGCACCCCAATCTATCGGCAGGATTCTTATTCAAAAATCCTTTAAGGACATTAGCTGCCTTCACGCTTAAAGACCTAGGGATACGAATCGTTTTCTCTAAGATAACTTGGAATAAATAATCTTCGGTGTTCTGGTCGGGATTTTCCGATGCTCCGGCTATGTCGAAAGGCGATCTACCCGCCAGCATTTCATACAAGAGAACACCTGAAATAAAGAGTTTTTAATTTCCCTGAAGTAGAATTAAGTAAGAAAAGTAAATAATAGTATTGTAGAATATTATGTTGATAAAAAGAGAAAGAAATATTGTATACTAAATTTTGTTAGCCGCACACGTGTCCACTTGTGATGGGGACATAACGCAATGAGTCGCCCACCCCACGGGCCCACAATATGTCTCTGATGTTAGTACGAGATACATGTATGGCATTTGTTTAACTGTAAAAAGTTAAAATATACAAATTAAATGTAAACCAGCGATTGTGTTTCGTTTCTCTGTCTCAAGACAGAGTGGGCTTTCATTTTAAACAAATATGAAATTGTTTTTTTACTTCGTACTGTTACCCTAAAATTTGTTGCCTATTACAATCTCTTGGAAAATAAAGATAAATTCTGAAAACCAAATTTTCAAATTGACACACTCTGTATTATAATCATCATGTACAGTTAAGTATGTTTAATACGATTTATAGAAAATTTACGCCCGTCTAAGGTATCCCGCAAGGATCTAATTTAAGGCCTCTGTAATTCATACCCTTTATAAACGATTTGCTGGATAATTCACTTGATAATTGCCAATTTTCATGACATAAAATGGTATAATAATTTATCTTTAAATATAAAAAAGTCATGTTATGACCCTAACAAAATATTGCATATAGAATTACTTTGTGTACACTATTAAAGGGCAAATACAGCATTAAAAAGTACAAAAATATTAAAAACCTCCAGAAAACTTAAAATAATAGGCCTATGAATTTTTCTGGGAGTTTAAGACAAACCATGTCGCCTTGTTCCTTACTCCCCTAAGGAGCTTTTGATAATTTCCATACAATAGCAGAGACAGTTTCAAATAGATCGCTTTTACACAAAAATTATACAAGTTTAATTAGAAATAAAAAAGTTACGACGAAAAATCGATGAACTCTCAACTTTGAGAGCTAATAACTCTACAGGGTGAGCTCAAATAAAAAGCAATATTTAAATTTGTAACGTTATTTTTGCAACCCAAAACTGAGAGATTGCCCAACATTTCCCAAACACCTTGTATAGAGAAGATACAGAATACATTTTTACACTTCCCAAGTAGGTAGAGATTCTGAAATTCTTAGTCCGTATTAGAAATCTAACTGCTACGATTTTCTGTTACAAGTTCATAATTTACTCATAGGCCAACCAATAGAGATTTTTTGGCACACTTAAATATTACAGCAAATATCATGTATGTATTATCTTTTGAAAAATACTTAGTAAACGAAAACCCAAGTGATTTTCCTAGCAAAGTTGTGAACAATTTTTTTTAAACAACAAAAACTGCAAAAAATGAAATTTTTTTGTTTTTTTTTATAATATCTCGAAAAATAATGATGGAATCGTGTTACTCTCAATAGGTCTTTTGTAGAGAATAAAAAAACTATAAAATGGTTTTTTGTGCGATCCGATCGGTTCATTTTTTACATAGAAAATCCGGAAAAACCTCTAAAATAGACCTTTTTTCAAAAATTCATAACTCCGTCAAATTTGAAGCTGGAAAAACCATCTTGCAGAAAATGGCAGATAATAATATGTAGTTTAATCGTGTGCAAGATGGTTTCTGTCCGATGCATAGTTTTTGGTTGATAGAAAACATTTTAGGTACACTACTTTTAAAGTTAAAATAATTCTGGAGCTTTGTAGAAAAAGGGCCAATGTCCATTGCAGTGGACACTGATCGTTTGTCAAATGTTTTAAAAGTATTTCAAGGACCAAAGTCCATACATTGGCCCTTTTTCTACCAAGCTCCAGAATTATGAGTGACCTTTACAAATTAAAATATCAATTTGAAATTTTCAGAATCGAGATTTTTTTCAACCTAAAAAATGATAAAATAACGAGAAAAAAAATTTAATTTTTGATGATTTTGGAAATTTTTTAAAATCTTGAGCGACCTTAAAAAAATTTTTTTTGAGCTGATGTTTTGGGGGGGCTCTTAAAACATGATAAACTAACATATTTTCACAAGACATGAAAAAAAATATTCGTTTATTTTGGGCCACCCTAAAATACACAATTTAAATTTACTAATTCCAGTTTTACAATTACAGTATCATACTACACCTTTGTTAACTATTTAAAAATAATTCACGTATTTTGACAACTTCTTGGCCAGAATTTTTAAATATAAAAAAAAACCTTAATGATTTCAAAAAATAGTATTTGTATATGAGTGAAAGTAAAATATTTCAATTAAATTTAATTATTTTCAATAATCTTCTATCAATTTCTCTCGTTTCGCATCTCCTGTAATTAGGGATTCCGTTCGTTAGAAATCAATGAATAAATAAATAAATAACTTAAAAAACTCACCTAAAGCCCACCAATCCACCGAGAAACCGTAATCCTCCCCTCGTAAAATCTCCGGGGCGATATAGTTAGGAGTGCCACAGAAAGTCGACGTAGTGTCCCCAGGCCTAATACCCTCTTTGCACATACCATAATCAGTCAATTTAATGTGGCCCTCATGGTCCAACAGTACGTTATCCAACTTCAAGTCCCTATATATGATCCCCTTGCAGTGCAAGAAGTTCAGGGCGAGGGAAATCTCCGCCGCGTAGAACCGGGCGTGTTCCTCCGGCAGCCTTCTCTGCCTCTGCATGTGGAACATCAGGTCGCCCCCGCGGACAAATTCAATAACGAAGAACAGTCTAGACGGAGTTTGGAAGCACGAGTGTAAACCGACCAGGAAGGGGTGGTTGGAGGCCGTCTCGAAGACGTGCTTCTCCGTCTGCACCCAGTCTATATCCTCGTCGTCGGTCACCAGGGCCTTCTTTATCACCTTCATGGCGTATATACGTTTCGTCTTCTTGAGTTCCACCATCAGTACTTTGGCGTAGGATCCGCGGCCTATGACTCGGATGAGCTCGAAGTCATTGAGGGAATACTGGCGTTGGGAGCCCGGCTCGAGGTCGTCCAAGGGCTTGTTCGGATCTTCCACTGGCACCGATTCACCTGAAAATGTTTTTAATTTGCAAGAATTCTCGTAAAAAAAAATCGATTTACCAAAAATCGTTTAAATAAAAGTTGCCAAATAAAACAATTATTAGCAATTATTTTTAAAAATTGAGATTTAAAAACGTTATAATACAAACCTGATTTATTGTAATTTTTTACCACTGTGTTGTAAAAACATATATTGTTTGTTTACTACTGATAATGGGTATGTCTTTTTTTTTTTGTAGTTGCACGGTTTTGAGTATAATTTTCGATTTGAGCAGTGCTAAATAATTCGTACAGTAGTGCGTGATATTATTTTTGATTTGTGGGTGTTTTGTGCAATAAAAATGGCACACGTTTATGTACTTTCAACATGACAACAGGATAAAAACGTTACCATTACAACATGGATTTTTAAATCCTATAAAATTATAGAATGAATAGTAATATTTAACAGATGTACGAGAATATTAGCTCTAGCTTTTCTCATTGCTAAAATCGTATCGAGATCTTGAATTAAAAAAAATGTAGATAACAAATAATTTAATTTTTATTTAAAAAGTTAAGGAAAGTGTGATAACAAAATCAAATGCATGGATTCTGCTGCTGGCTCATGTATATTCAATATACTACACAAAATATACAGGAATACCTTCTCATTGTGGCTACAAAAGAATGAGAATATTCCTAATACAATCTTGAGATTTTGGGATCCTGACTTTAAGATTCTGTTGGCTTTCATTGTAACATGGCATATATCAAAAATATTTTAATTTTCATAAATAGTTCAAAAGCTTTAGCCAAAATAAGTTTTAGTTGAAATTAAAAGATCACACTCTGTATCCACAAATTTTGACCCCAGAATTTTTTTTATTAATTCACAATTCTATGGATTGTTTCCCTTTGCCATTAAAGTAAGCTCAATTCACCATTAAACAATCTGTAAAAGAATGGCTCAACTTCGTAGATTCATTTTTTCTAAGTAAGTACCTATCACTCTTTGGAAAATAAATGACAATTTTTAAAACCTGAATCTGAATTTGTTTTTTTTTTTTTTTTTTTTTTTTCAGAATTAATGTTGCACAATGAAGTGTAGTATTGAACTAACTTTATCTGACCTAAGTCAATTACTCACTTATCTTTTGACAAGATACAAATTTACATTTTAATTGAGCTATTTAGAAAACTAATCATAATAAAAAGTGATTACACTGGAATCGATTAAAGTTAGGGTAAGTATGCACCAAAAATAATCAGTAATCTAATTTACTATATGATCCTTTAATAAAAACAAAAAATCAGGCCTGAGTTACTTCTACTTTGGTACCATATTCATTGTTGGCATTAGGTACATATGTATATAATTATGTTTTATTTCTCAATCAACTGACATGATCAAATTGTTAAAAAAATATATCTTCAATGCCAGACTTCTGTAATTTATCAAGATTTCATTGGTAATATTATTTTATGGTATTCATGAATCAAATTGAACATTGCATTTGCATTTGAACTGTATTATGAGTTTCTATAGATTTTCAGTATTGCCTTTAAAAGTTTTACCGCCAATATACAGCTGTGGACAAAAAAGTTGTCATCCTAAAGCATTTAAAGAGGTTTAATGAAGGACACATATGCAATTTAGAAAAAAAACTTTGTATGTCCACAGCTGTAATAGATAAAGACTTACTTTAAGATAGGTATTCAACTAACGTATTTAAAGTATTTACTTTGAGATTTTATCAAATCGTGTATACTTTAAATATGATTTAAAGTTTTTAAGTAAGTATCTGAATTTAAACAGATTAGGGACAGAAAATATAGGAAGCACTCCCACTACTAAAGTGGCGTAGTGCCATCTGTAGTTATCCTTTAGCAAATGGATGTCAGTTGTCAAATTTCAATCTGTTGGTTCTTTGGTTCTTTCTATTTATTATTTCCAATATCACAATATTATTTTCAATACTTATATTGACAAATTCTCTGACGATTCTAATTTCTCGGTTTTATAGCATTATCTATTGCGTTTTCTCCCCCTAATCTTTGTTTGAAACATTATGTATATAAAAGCACATGGCCTATATTTAAGAAATGGAATTACAAATTTTAAATGACAGCCTTAATCTTACCTGTCACATCTGGAGGAGGTTCCGGGAAATCCCTTTCCCTAATATCTGGTATGATTTCATTAACAGGAGTACTAATGGCCTGGGCTTCCCCATTATGATCATCTCTAACTACGGGTTCCTGGTGTTCGGTGGTGCAGGGTTTATTTACAGCCTTGTGGCATTTCTTGTGGACTAGCAGCTTACACTGTATACATTTGAACCCTTGTCGTCCTAAACCCCAGATCCTGTCATTGCAGTAAGCGCAGAATGCCCTCTGCAACAAGATGTACTGTTTAATGATTTTCTTGAACAGTAAGCACAGGAACAAGTCTATTTTTTTGATAAAAAGGAACAAGTACATTTTGACCATGCACCAAGGTTTGTTAGGTACTACAAAATGATCAAGACACAAGAAGGTACAGATATAAACTGCCAGATATAAATAAATATCTGAAGTAAATTCTTGGGGACAATTAGTTTATGTAAATATTTGATTCTTGACCTGCTTAAAGATTAAGAAAGGCATTACCTACAAATTTTGTACTCATTGCGTGAAGGTAGCAAATTAAAAATTATTATTACTAATTTGGAAGAAAATTTTACAAACAAACTTAAAATTTGCATTCTTTATTTTATTTATTTTTTAAACGAATGATAAGAAATGCAATTTTTATGAAGTTAAATCTTAATAGCAACATCATATGTGTTGAATATTTTAAGAATCAGAGTTTCAAAAAGTAAATGATTTTAATCTTTTTATTAGTAGATAATAAAGTGGCAATGTGACACAAATTTTTAAAATTCATAAAATTAATAGAACATTTAATTGCTCTCGATTCAAGGAAATTGTTAATAAAATATTTATTTATTTGTGAAAACGCATATTTTCATAATTGTTTGCAAAAAAAAGCAAGTCTGAAATTAGAGCATATTTTTAGCCATGCACTGACTTTGATGCGGAATTATATTCTAAGAAAGTGGCATTTTAGAAATGCAAATAAGGCAAGTGCACCAGTAATTGCCACTCTCCTAGTAATTGCTACTTTATACTTACAATTTCGGAAATAAGATTATTCATTTAAAAATTGCATGTCACGTTACTTACAGTCTGTACGATATTTGTTGAGATAAAATTTTAAGAAAAGAATAAGCCAATAAAGTTCTGTTATCGGAACTACTGTAACAATTTACCGCGGCAGAGGCGTGCCTAGGAATTTTCGCGTTATTTTCAAAATATAAAAATATATATAAAGTAGATTTTTTGGATTACAATGTGTTTTTATTTCTTTTCAGTACAAATCATAAATAAGAAATTACACTGAAAATGCACAGGACGACAAACTTATGAAATAACTCGACACCGTAACTGCAAAACACAGTATGCACTGAAATGTCTTTCTATCTCAGATGTCGAATGCGGTTAATTCCAAGAAAGTGGCGCAGGGGTCTTCTTGGGATTCTTTGGAATCTCAACAAACATCGTATAGGCTGTATATGTGGAACCGTATCTGTATCACAACATACATTTAAAACCAATGATAAAAAAACGTGCTTCTTTCGTTAGAAGTTTATAGTTTTGGATGAAGCTGCACCTGCTTTTAGAGATTTTGTTAGGCATTTTGTTCAGATGGTTAGTGTGTTTTTTGTATTATTCCATGATTTTTTTAAAACTAAAGTTTTTTCGGGCTAATACACTACAGATGAATTAGTTGTAAATATAATGTACAATTTTATAAATATTTTGTTAATTTCAACGTTGATTTTGATTTAAAGGCAGAGTGCCAATTACTGGGAACATAATGTAGTATAAATTCAATAACATTAATGGCAATTACTATAGCTAAAAAATAATTCAATTAATTTTTGTTTTATTTTATTGTTTAAATTATACCTATATGGTAAAAATATAGCTAAGATCCTCAGTATTTCCCAATTTCTAATTTAAGATGACAAGTTTACCAAAGGTGTTGAATAGGAAAAATTGTCTTATTTTTCATTTTAACGAAAAAAGTTGCTCTCGAGAAAAAATATTGCTGGTTCTTAAAGTAAGATTGGAATAGAAAAATTTAACATTTTTTGTACGGGGTGTGTACAAAAGATTGAAAAAACTTTAAATGGTACAAGAGTAAAGTGCACTTATTTGTGAAGATGAGGAAAGAAGTTACTAGGAAAAGTTGTTCAAAAGTAAAAGGCAGTCTCTAATACCTACCAATTTTCGAAAAAACCGGCCTACTTTTATTTATTTATAATCATTAAATTTATTTTATACAAATTAAATTATTAGACCGATCAAAATAACTCATGTAGAGGGAAAAAAAAGAAAATTGTTACCTGGACATTTATAAGTGGAAATGGTAAAGGGGCTTATAATAAACGAAAAAAAAAATAAATGTGTGAGCAGGGGCGGCGGAGGGTTGAAAAGTTATAAAAATTGTATAATTGGGATTTCTGGCGAAAGTTGACGTCAAACAAAAAAGTATCCAATACAAAAGTTGTAGATCATGCAAAAATCTACAACTTTTGTAGAGATCATTTTTTAACATAACCTCAAAATTTCCGAGAAAAATTCGAAAATCGGGTTTTTTTTCTGATTTTTTGATTTTTATTTCTCATTTCCGCAAAAATAATTTAATTTGCCACTTATTTCCACATCTTCACAAATAAGTGCACTTTACTCTTGTACCATTTTTTCAATTTTTTAAATACCCCGTAGAAGAAATGTTAAATTTTCCTATTCCAATCATACTTTAAGAACCAGCAAAATTTTTTATAAATAGTAACTTTTTTCGATAAAATGAAAAATAAGAAAGTTTTTCCTATTCAACACCTTTTCTGTGGACATACTATAGAAAAAAATGTATGTAAAAGCTGTTTTTCCAATATACGCAAAAGAATATAGAGATTGTTATAACTAAGTTTTTTGAAAAATGAAGTATAAATTAGTGGCAATTGCAAGAACATGAAATGGCTGGACATGAGCAACCAGTTTTTTTTTATTTGTATAATGTCAGTGTCTGATGCATTAGATAATAGTTTAAAGTTGACAAATATGTACCTAGGTGTCTCGTTTGCATTGTATAACAGTGGAATTTTTATTAAAAGACCTTAATAAACAAAGTTGTTTTGTTCTACTAAAATTTTAATGTTTGCAATTTATTCTGAGCCTTTTTAAACAAAGTCTTTCTTATAATGGCAATTACTGATGCAGTTACTCTACCTACCTTCTTATTTATTATTAATCTAAGTATAATACTTGATAATAGTTTAGCAGTAAAAAATCAAAATATTTTTTAACGAAAAATTTTATAGTAGGTTTAAAAATATTGCATTATTTTGACTTAATTGTTAGTATTATACATAACAAAATATTTTCTTCATGCCAAGCGCTGTAAAAATTAAACTGTACGACTGTACAAACTTTAAAAATGCATATCACGACCACATACTTCACACTAAAATAAATTTGTTAAGCCGTATATGACACAGGAAACATAATTCAATTAATATGATAAGAATTACTATTACTAATTCCTACAATGGATATAATATGAGGAGTTCATTGCTTTCTGTTTGTTGTTTTAATGGATTAAACCACCACAGAATTTTTCGTTTTGGAAAATAAATGTTGTGATCGAATACCTTATTAATTTTGTACAGGTTCGCTGCATCAACAGAAACAGTTAGGGGTTGTATAGAAGACCTTATCTGTTTTATTATCAAAACATATGTATATAACATTTTTCTGTAATTTCTTTGTACAACCTGCAGGTCAAAAACCTCTATGGTATTCATTGTATCAAAAATAAACATGGCAAATGAATGTAAATAGGTAATTTTTGAAGCAGATAAACTTTTAAGTAGGGATAAATACAAAAATAATATTAAAGAATTTTAAATGGAATATTAATTTGCAATTGATAGTATAATAAAATAATTCCTGTTTATTACATTTACATATTACCCCGGTTACTCAGGTAAGAATTATTTCATACCTCTGGTTACTGTACTTTTAAGTCCTATTTTGGTAAACAAATGTTGAGTCTGTGTCATATTTCGGTGTTAATTGATGTTCTTAAAAATATACGGCGATTCAGCATCCTCGAAAATATCAAACGTTTCCCACACTACAACCAACAAAAGCGATTATTTTAATCTTGAAGAGCGACGACTATTAAAAATCATCATACGAATAATTACAGAAACTACTTTAACTTCAAATAGACTCAGCAAAAAAATTAAGAGAGCAGAGAAACTCGAAATTTTTATAGTGATTTTTTAAGGGCTTTGTGGATAATGGTCGTATCATGAAAAACAAAAAAAAAAACATCTTGAAGATTCAATCAAAAGAAATAATGCAAGGCAAAAATTTTACAATTTTCTTTTAAAAACTGGCTTAGAATATTTTTTTATGGCTTAATCAATGCCAGTTGAAATATTCAATATGAAATTGTAAAAAAGATAACATTAACAAATTTTGAAAAATTTGATTTTTTTAAATTAATTTTTTTTTCAAAATTTTGATTTTTTTTTTTTTTTTGAATACTTGATGAGTATTTAACGTGAAATTGTGAGAAAAATAACGAAAACATTTTTTGTTTCACCTTAATTACCATGTTTAAGGAGCAATAAAACTATTCCTTTATTTTTTTATAAGACTGACACTTCAGGAAAGGAAAACAATTCGATCGATTGATTTCAAAATTTACAGGCTTCATGGGGCATGTATCGAGCTAAAAAAAATCCTACAAATATTGGTACTTTTCGCAATATTTACAAAGTAGTCGCTGATTTTCCAAAACGGCAGAAACAGCCATTTTTTGCAATTTTTTAAAATGGGTGTAAATATTATTTTCTCAAACATACCAAAAGGCCCTTGAAGAGGATTGATACAAGTTTCCAAAACCCACCTTTTGTTCGCTGTACGATCATCAGTTCATGAAATATCGATGATAAAAAAAGGCTGACTTTTCTCTCAATAGCCGATATATCAATGAGAAATAATTATACAGAAAATAAAAAAAGCGAATTGAAGCTGCGGAATCAGGCTAAATTATCCTGGCATTGATTAAGCCAGAAAAAAATCTCCTGAGCCCATGGGCAACTTGAAAAAAAAAAATGTAAAATTGTTGCCTTGCATTATTTCTTGTGATTGCACCACGAGTATGCTGAAAAAAATTTTTCATCTCGAGATTACAAAACTAGAATATTCGTTTCAAGATGCTTTTTTGTTTTTCTCGATACGACCATTATTCATGAAGTAACAGCCTTTCAAAAATTACTAAAAAAATTTGGACATTTTTCTGCTCCCTTAATTTTTTACTGAGTTTATAAATACCTCTATTATAAAACTTTTATTTGAATAATTCTTTGTGAAATATTCATATTATTTTGGCATTTATAAATAACCCTTTAAAATTAAAACTCCACTTTCAAAGACATCTGGTATATTTAAGATGGTTTTAGATATTACTACTGTGCGCTAAAGGTTACCGCACATGATCGGATTTAAGTGTACAAATCAAAACTACACAAATGTGAAAGTAGACAGAGATAGTAAAAACACATTTTAACAAAATACGCAAATTTTACTGCATGTTACAAAAAAAAAAAATAAAATAAAATTGTGACCTAAAAACACAAGTAATTTCAGCTCCAGCTACGGAAGGTCAACAAATTGAACTGATAACAATTTACATGTATAATCTGTAAATTGTGAAATATGTCATTGAATAAAATTTTTGAAGGGATTTGTTTCATTGGAACAACGCAATCAAAGTTATTTAATAAAATATAAATTGTTTATGTGTATCTGATGGACCCTCCCTGAATGTGGGTCGAAATAGAAACAAATGATGCTTGTTAATTGTACATTCGATCGCAGATCGCGTTGTTTTCACATGCACATTTCTAGTCCATTCAAACAGGCCTTTCAATTATTGAAAATATCATCACACCAGCCAATCCACTTTGTCCGGCTGATACTGATTTAACTTCCATTCTGTTGGCAATCACCAGAGCCAGTGGAGCCAAACCGTTCATTTAGGTGTGATATTTGATTTAACCAAGTTTTACATTTCATCGGGATTGGTCGTTAAGACTGGTAATATTTAATTTTGAAAATTATTTTTAGGCGAAGATTTCAGCAATGTTTGCAACATACATAATATATTGAAACATTAAAGTGGACAACTGATCTGTTGCTAACACCTAGCTAAAGTCATCAAGTGAAAAAAAAATTTTAGGTGTCTGAAAATACAGGGTTTCAAAATTATAGTTTGAAAACAAGTTTTAATTACAAATTCTTTATTTTTTAAGCTGTTTACTTGAAATAATAGAGGCATTGTAGTATTATTGTCCCCCTTTTATTACTTTACTATAAACTTTTTTATTTTTTGTGTTGGACAAAAATGCTTAAAATAAAAATGAGTTTCATGAATTTATGAAAATAGAAATACAGGCCGTTCCAAACACACGAACCAAACTTATGTTTTTTTTAAACGGAACACCCTGTATATTATTCGATTTTCGGAATCATTGCCTCTTGTGTGGGTTTACTTAATAATTTGCTCTATATTCTGCTGTGGACAAAGGACAAGGCAGGTATTAATTTAAAGTAAATAAAAAACAACTTCCTTACAACAAAACAAGGACTAAATTTAACAATATAAAAGATACCTATTATATTATCGGTATACATACGTAATAATGAATCCTGCTCACGATATTGTTTTGTCCCTACTTGTAGCGCCTTTTTCAAGACGTAATGAAGTAGAAAAACAAATTTTGAATAGTCGCCCAACACCAAAAATAAAGGGAATTATTAACAAAAAGAGAAGAGGTCGGGAAAGTTCGCGAAAATTCAATCTTCTTGATATGATAAATATTATCAAAGCTATGTGGAACGAAGAAAAATTTAAAAATATTTTTAATTATGCGAAAAATATTACTGGACTATGAAGTAAATGGGGCAAAAGTTGCGACGAATTAGAAATATTTTCGAGCTATAAAATGCTGTACTACGAAATTATGGATTGCATTTCCCTTCAATTAAGTACTTATTTTGGGAATTTACATGACTTAAATTTTCTTGCTTTAGTAGATTCTCAAATATGCAAACATTTCCTGAAAAATCATTTGAATGTTTATTGAATATATCCAAACGTTTTAGAAATAGATAGGTTGAAAAACGAACTTAATATTATATAATATATTTTGTACATATCGTAATTTAGAAGTTCAAAAATCGGTTGAAATATTATACAAAACATTTAAAATGGTATTTTCGGAAACATCAAATTGTTTTGCCTAGTTTTAACAATTCCTGCAACAAGTGTCTCGACAGAAAGAAACTTTTCGTGTCTTCAGAGCATTAACATTTAAGAAATACGATGACACAAAAGCGCCTAAACAACTTAGCAGTGACGGTGATAGAAAAACAATTTTTGCAAAGTCTTAATGCCGATTCCAAATTTTATGAAGACAAGTAAATTTGCAAATTTAAAAGACCGACTTTTACAAATGTGAATATATTTAAAATATTTTGTTAAAAGTGGACACAAACGAAAAGCTGGCGGTATTGTTTTATATGTAAATGTATATTGTATATGGCTACCTAATGAAAATTAGTTTTGATATTTTTACATATTTTTTTAATACTGGTTCTTAAATCAAATACGAGCAATTTTTTAAATTATTAGGTAAATACATCATTTTGTTTTTAATGTTACTTATTCAATTTTTTAATTTAAGGTTAGTTATACACAGGGTGTTAATTAAGTATATACCTACAATAAATTGAACATAGTATTATTTGAGTGATTTTAAGACAAAAAGTTCATATAAACATTGGTGCGCAGATGCTTCTTTTTCAAGATACAGGGTGTTAAATTTTTGTAAAAAATTGCTATTTATTCACTTAATTGCATATCCCTGTACCATACACGAAATATTATTAAAAATATGCATTAAGGTACCGCTCGGTACACCACTGGACTTAACAAATCTAATCAAGTTAAGATTAAATTAACTCCTTAACACTACAAATAACACTGCCAAATTACAACAGAATTGGGTACCTAAAGGGTGTTTAAGATATTTATGAAATAGCCTCGGAAATAGCAATTCTTTTACGAAAGCTTACACCCTATATCTTGAAAACGAAGCATCTGCGGACCAATGTTTATATGAACTTTTTGTTTTAAAATCACTTAAATAACCGTCTGCTGAATTTATTGTAAATACTTAATTAACACTATATATTAAGGGTATTGGAGAAGACCCCCATAATAATAAATGGCAACGGTCGATGAATAATAACCCAGGGGTGACGTGGAAATTTATCCCTATTTATTATTTAATAAAATAACCAAATAGTTATGTAAATACTTCTGTTTTTTCTACAGGTTGTTTCAGAAAGACCTCCCGTAAATTCAGGGGGTGATAGTACGACAAAAAATAATAATTTTTCGTCTTATGAACTATATGTCTATCTCCTCTTGTTTTCGAGATACAGAGCGACAAAATAAATTTTTTAAATAGAATTTTTGAAAATTTCCAAACGGTTCGAAATATTTTTATGAAATTTGGTATTACGGGGTTTTTAAGGAAGTCAAATACGCTGGTCTAATTATTTTTTGTATATTTTATAGAGGGCGTTAGTTATGCTACATTCGTATTACATTTTCAGCTCTAATTTTTATGAGGTTAGGTTTTTGTAGTGACTGTAATTAGTCATTACTAACTACAGTCACTAACAATCACTAAAATTTTGATATAAAGTTAATTAGAGTTTAAAATGTTACTAAGAATGTATGCGTTGTGTATGAGACATCCATCAATAAGTTTTGACATAAGCCTACTTTGAGAAAAGTCTCGTATCTTATACTCCGTAATATTGTAAGAGTTCAATTAAAATCCTTTTTTCTCGAAAACCGTCCACATTAGGAAGTTCTAACAAGAGTACATTATTTTTAGGAAATAAAATTGTACTATAGAAATTGGAGCCCGAATGCTAAAAAACTTACCTCAAAAAAAATAGAACCTAAAATGTAATAAGAATGTAGCGTAGCTAGCGCCCTCTATGAAATATCCAAAAAAATAATTAGACCAGCGTATTTGGCGTCCTTAAAAACTACGAAATACCAAATTTCATAAAAATATTTCGCACCGTTTGGAAATTTTCGTAAAAATTCTATTTAAAAAATTTTATTTTGTCGCTCTGTATCTCGAAAACAAGAGCATATAGACATATAGTTCATAAGGCAAAAAAATATTATTTTTTGTCGTACTATCACCTCTTGAATTTACGGGAGGTCTTTCTGAAACACCCTGTATAATCTGAATGAAAATCCTACTCGTGAACATTAGTTTTTCAATAATGTAAATGCAATTAAAAATTTCTAGATTCATTTATCATTCATTTTTCATTTGACCTTCAAAATTTAAAAAATTTTGCCTGCGGCGCTTTTTGTTTTCTCTATTGCCCGCCTAATGAAGCAGCCACGAACTGACAATGTCACGAGCCGCCACTGCTTTTATTTCTACACGTAAACAAAACAAAAGAAATGTTTCAGCATAACGTGCTGTCAACGTGCGATAAAATTTAGAGCACTAGGTATACAGGTCGTTTTAGTGACCCCTGGGCACAGAGCAGAAAGGAAAGTTATAAAAGTAATATGCACGGCTACAAAACTTACCCTATTGAACCTCTTGGCCTGAAAAATGTGTCCATTAACCCTATAGAGCTTCCTCCACCTCCTGGCGCCCCTTCTGTAGATGCTCCCTGAAAGCACATTTATATAAATCACCGCACCAACAAGTCCATATCGGGGAATAATCTAAAACTAGAGGAAAACGGCCGCCGCGCCGGTCGCTCGGGCAAGGTTAGGTCAACAGAGAACCGAGCCGACGGCACAGGTACCCACCGAATTTTTCTTTGTGGTTCTGCGTGCAGAACAGCAAGCATTTGATTACGTTTTTAACAGTCATCTTGGGACGGGCATCGTCTCGCTTTCGACGGCCGGCGAGAGAACAATGCGGCCGCCAACAAAACGGAAAAAAGGGTATCGGACAGAGACAGCGAAGGAATGTTAAAAAAGGATTACCAAAAAACGCTGGAAGTAAATTATTCATTTCACGGTGGAACATCGAATCAGCGTCTAGGCATTTGCTACCCAAATACGGAGTGTCCGAAAACAGTAGACAATAAGAAAAATCGACATGTTATAGTTGTTTGACCCTTGGTCATTGGTGTACGGGGTGGAAAGGAAGTTTAGTTCGAGCCGCTAGTCGTACCGGGTGGTCGCATGAACCTTGCCCTTTCTCGTGAAAGTGCGTACAAACATCCGCGTGAGTTAGTCATCTTTTCCGGTACAAAATTATTTTTGGTTTCCCACAGTCCGTTTGCACCGAAATTATACTAAGAACATCTTGATAAATAGACAAGGCGAAAACCTCGCATTCGTGGGAGAAATTTTCCGACTCGTTTTTTTTGCATATTCAGATTCATGAGATGTTCCTTAACATGAATCGAGATGATGCCGGCCGGAAATCTGGTGCCCATTTGTTTAAACAAACTTTTTTAAACAAATTGTAAAAATTGTTTTTTTTCACGGCCGATTTTCGGGTTAAAAATTGTTATTTTTAAAGTTTAAACATCTCCCTACAAGATGCTGAAGAAATTTTGGGACTCTCATTATTTTAAAACCTTGTTTTTTAATTGGGAATAATGAGCTATGAGCCGCGCGCGCGTGTCTCTAATACGTGAATTTGCACCATGCACTTCCGATGCATTGAAATTACACGTCTTAAAAGCTTCTTTACAAACGTACATATGGAAAAGTTCTATTTTTTCTCAATATCAATATTTGGATTCCACAGCTTTTGGTTATCAAAATGAAACAGGTGAATTATTACCTAAAATTATTACCAAAGATCCATTACTCAAAGACTTAGTTAAACAAAGTAAATGATCAAAAAACTGTAAGACTAAAGTTTGTTCTTGTAGGAAAAACTATGTCACTTGTGTACCTTTATGTGGTTGTAAAATAAAACAGTGTGAGAACTCTTACGATTGAATAAATGTGTGATAATAATATGCAGTATTAAATAAATGTTCTTTAATAAAAATCAAATGTATTTGACACTTATGCCCTTTTATTTTTTTTCTGTACTCTATTCGTACAATTTTGAATTAATTAAATAAAATTATTATGAATTATAAATTTAAATAATCAACTTTTACAATATTTTATGAGTAGTAATAGTACTAACAATGCTAAATTCAAAGAACATAAGCTGAAGCCGCTAGACGAAATAGCGAATCCGCGTATGAGGCGCGCACGCGGCTCATAGCGTTTTATTAACAATTAAAAACCAAGGCTTTAGAATAATACGGGTCCCAAAAAACTTAAACTTTAATTCAGGTACCTGGCAACATCAAATATAACAATTTTTAACCCGCAAATCGGCCGTTGAAAATCGTCAGTTTCGCATTTTTAGCAACTTAAATTGTTTATAACTTTAAAGCTATCAATTTTGGAGGCATAGTGCATAGGAACTTTTTTGTTTATAATGTGCCAAATAAAACCGGAGTGAAAAAAACTAATTTTACAATTAGTTTTAAAAAAGTTTGTTTAAACAAATGGACACCAGATTTCCGGCCGGCATCATCTTGATTCATGTTAAGGAACATCTCACGAATATGCAAAAAAATCGAGCCGGAAAATTACTCCCACGAATGCGAGGTTTTCGCCTTGTCTAAAAGTCGTTCTTAAAGTTAAGTTATACATAATTTGTTATTTGTAAAGTATGTACAGGGTGATTCTCTATATTTTGACCCCTCCCCATTACTTTTTTGTCATAAAAAAATGTGAAATACAGAAGTTTTTGAAAATTATAGTAAAACAAATGAAGTCCAAACAAAATGCCCGCGAATGTTAACTTTATTAATTTAAATGGAACACCCTGTATATTTTGATATATTTAGATAGAAATTAAAATAGAGTATGGAGAAGAACAATGCTGTCATGACATTACCTGTCACTGTTACGGCCTACCATATAACATTGTCCATGAGTAATTAGGTCTTTCGTGGCCTAATTAGTGAGATTTAGTTAAAATATTACATCTAAATCTGTAAATACTTACATAATTGGAAAAAGGCACAAATGCCTGAAGGAGGCCTTAGAAGATATCTTATTTTCTTAATAAAAAAATCTATTCGTTTTCTAATAGTATCTCGTTCATTGTTAGAGATAGACCCAACAAATCCTATACGACTATGCTCGATAGGGAACGTTTAGTATTAAATTTAATCATAACCCCAGTAACATTTCTAATTAATTTTTCATTCAGTTCGGGCCTATATCCTCAAAATTTTAAGTTAAATAAAGTAGTACCGCTATATAAAAAGAAAAATCCTTTATTATTAGAGAATTATAGACCTGTATCTATGCCTAACAGTCTATCAAAAATTTTTGAATATGCGTATTTGGACAGGCTATTTAAATTTTTGGTAAAAAATAATATACTCTCGGAGCATCAACATGGGTTTCGACCGCTAAAATCAACAAATACAGCTATGTTTGCTTTTTTCAATCAAATAATGAATTTTTTGACGTAGGAGATAGTCCAGTCGCAATATTATGTGATTTGAGACGAGCTTTCGACTGCGTCAACCATAATAAATTGTTTAGCATTCTTGAAAACTACCTATGGAGTTAGAGGAATTACTTTAAATTGGTTAAAATAATTTTTGTGTGACCGTCATCAATTTGTGTCTTTGCCTATAACAAACAATAATCAGAAGTCTCATTTTAAATCAAGAACTTTAAATGTTGACATTGGAGTCTATCCTGGGCCCAGTACTATTTATCTTATATATTAACGAAATTAATTCTGCTGTAAAGGGGTGTCATTTCACTGTCTACGCGGATGACGTAGCCATGGTAATTTCTGACAAAAATCATGACGTTTTGATGCGAAGGTGTTCTGACGCTTTAAATAATATTGTGAGCTATCTTAATAATTATAACCTATTTTTTAATGCCGAGAAAACTAATTTATTAAAAATTATTACGGTTAATATTAATGATACTTCTCTGCCTCCTTCACATGACGCAATACAATTCTTAGGCCTTTATATGACGAAAATTTTCATTGGAAGCATCACTGCGGTAAGTTAATTAGTAGCTTAAATAAATTAAATTTTTTTTTATAAATTTACGCACGGTATTAACACAAAATCAACTTTTAAATATATATTTTGCAAAAGTTGATTCAATTTTATGGTATGGTATATGTTTCTGGGCTGGTTCGGTTTCTAGTCCTACAGTATTTATTGCACAAAAAAGGGTTATTAGGGCTATTGCCGGGATATCTTCTATGGAATCACGTAAACTTTTTTTTAGGAAATATGGAATTTTGACGTTAACATCGTTGTATATTTATGAAATATGTATTTATGTATTTAACAATGTGCGCTCATTTGTATTAAATGAAGATATTCATGACTTTTACATTTCAACAGTAACGTTTAATGTAACCAAAAAATCTCCAAATTACATCGGGCTACAAATATTTAATTGTCTTCCAGATCATTTAAAATCGATACAATATATTAAAAGGTTCAAAAAGAAATTAAAAACTTATCTGATAGATAAGTCTTTTTATTCACTGCCAGAGTACATGTCTATGTGCATCAATGTCTGAAATGTTCCGATCTGTTGATATTTTATTATACAGGGTGTAACTAAATAAGTGTAAAACATTTAAGGGGGTGATTCCTCATCGAAAAAAAGTTAGGATCTTTCATATAAAGAAACTTCATTGGAGCATCCCTTGTTAAGATACAGCCCCTTAAAGGGGGTACATAAAATTTGTTTAACAATTTTTTTCACAAGCACTAAACAAGTTACAATATTGAAATTAACCTGACATTTTCTACTACCAAAAAGACACTTAGCCAGTAATTTATTTGGTTTACCCCATGGTAGTAAGGGGTGGAAAACGCAACCCCTAAAATTTATTTCCAACGTAATTTTTTGTCTTATTATTTTTTTACCATTTAAAAAATTATTTCCGATAGCCTGTTTCATTCTAAAAAAAAATGTCTCTTGAATTTTTTGCCCAAATTAAACCAGTTCGCAGTAAAAAATTATTTTACGAACAACTACAGAGATACATCGTCATAAATGCGGACTGGATTTACTGTTATTTTGTAGTTACTACCTGCATTAAATGATTAAAGGGGAATAATCAAAACTAATTTAATAATAACAAAACATACAACATGTAGAAATCATAGTAAATGTTCAATATGTCTACCTTCAGACATTACGCATGCGTCTAGACGTCGGCGCATTGAGCCACGTATTCGCTCAAATATTCCTGGAGTCTCTCTAATTACCCTGCACGCATCGATAATGCGGTTTCTTAAGTCCTCTACATCGCGAACAGGAGTACGATAAACCAAATGCTGCAAATGGCCCCAAGTAGACAAATCCAGAGGATTGAGATCCGGGGATCGAGCGGGCCAATTCTGTGGTCCTCCTCGACCTATCCACTGATTTGCATATGTTTCAGTTAAATGCTGACGTGCTACTTGACTAAAATGGGCGGGAGCCCCATCATGCATAAAAACCATATCCCTTCTGACGCCCAAAGGAACTTCCTCCAGCAGTACGGGGGGATGCACTTTTCTTAAAAATTGAACGTATGCCTCACCATTTAATCGAGGAGGTAGAAAATGAGGCCCAATTAAATAATCCCCAATAACTCCGA